GGTATGTGGTTCTCATGGGTTTTTAGGTTGTTTTTACACTTGGGACATTGGATGTTAGGATAAACCTTTACACTTTAATTCACCGAACAAGACTTGTAAAATAATAGACATATGTGTGAGATTTTATAAAGAAATAATATTTTTTTCCCTATAAAGAAATAGTACTTGCCTAATACAAGTCGAGACTGTTGAAGGATTTATACTGTAGTTAACATGATATGAGACGACTCGTGTGTCTTAAAAATGCATCAGAAAACAGAGTTATAAGTAAAATTAAAATGGACTTTATGTATCAGAAAAAAAAATAATAATAAATAAAATAAAATGGACTTGCGACGACTTCGAATTTCCCGTCAAATCTGCACCATTATAAAGCCTACTCTCAGCGTACATTGATGACCATAATGTACGTAGCAGAGTCCATTTATAGAACTTGTGGTGGTCCAGTCCATGGACCCAAATCCCAATTGCCCATTTGCCTTATTCTTTTTTGGCAGGCGAAGTTGAAACTGAGCCCAAATGTCGTGCTTCATTACGCAAACAGTGAAAAAAAAAAAAAAAAAAAAAAAAAAAAAAAACTTGTATAACGCCGAGTTAAATACTAAATCTGTTGTGATATCAGTTGTAATAGGCCGAACACTCATCATTCATTAGACTTAAAAATTTAATCGTTAGATGCTGTATACCCGTCCAAGCCCAACACCTCTTAACAACAAGAACTCATTAACACCTTTCCTAATTAAATTGAAGTATAGTATTTTCAGTTTCTTAAAAGTAATTATACAAATTCTGAAAAAGTAGTCCACATAAACGACACTACATATGAATGATGTATTAAAAACTAGTCTCAAAACCAATGTTTTATAATTGATTGGAAATGAGGTTGGATTGGAATTTGGAGAGAACAAATTCACATGGATCCACGTGTTTGGGCACAGGCACATGGACCCTGGAGCAGGAGGACAAACTTCATTGACAAGCACACAACCCATGAAATAGTAACTGGGTGAATCTTTGCCTCCAAGTAAATGCATTGTAATCAATGAAAAGTATCATCTGGTGATCTGTTTTGGGGGAGTGTTAGTGGGCGCATTTTCTTCTCTTGCTTGCATTGCACCTCTTTGAATGGGGAACCATTTTTTTTCATGCTTTTACTCGAGTTCATGAGAAAGTTGCAATTAATAAGATTTTCTTAATCCTTCCTTTGAAAGGAAGAGCGTTAATATTATTTTATTTTATTATTATTATTTTTTTGTAGGGATGAGGAGATTGGATCTAATCATAAGAAGAATGCTTGGTATAAATAATTCACTTCTTGATTTTCGACCCCTAAGCAGTAAGTCGCTGTGAACACCCCTATCAATGTAATGAGATGTCTATTTATATATCTCTTGACTTGAAATGGGAACAGGTTTGGAAAAGGATCTTAGAGTGTCTAGGGTTGGGCCAAGAGGGTCTCTTAACGCCTTATTTTTTATTCTTAATCGGAGTTATTTTACAAAGACTTGCCATGATAAGGACAAAGGGAACAAGCACAAACACTTATGTTGCCATTGCATGCAGGCAGAGAAGGATGTGTACATTTTTGGGATTACCAAAATAAATAAATAAATAAATATTAGTTTTAAAATTTTATTAATTTTTTACCTTGAAACTAATTTTTTTTTTTTTTTGGTAGAACCTTGAAACTATTATTGTTGCTTAAAATTAATTTTATTGATCACGAATAAATAAATTTTAATTAAAGTGACAACTATGATAGTCAATACTCTGAGCAAATTCAAGCATATGAGTGATTTTTAAGAAATCTGAACCTGGAGCTAGTCAAATAAGCAAGCAATATGAAATGTTTTGGATAATCGTGTTGTCACAATATAAGTTCAAATTGATTCAATCAACTTACCTATTACATCTAATTGACTATATTTGATGGTAACCAGAGACTGCTCAACAAATAATAACCAAAAGACCCATTCAAAAACCAACAAATTAAATTTTTTTTTTTTTTTTTGTGTTGGGAATTTTAACAATCCAACAAGCCCACGTGTAATATCAATTATAGACGTTACGGTTCCTCGTGTCCATAAGCTTTTAGCTTTCTACTGCTTTTGTTTGGGTTTATTTGACCGTTTTTAGCAATAATTATTAAAGCCTCTTTACTGCTAAAGTGAACTCCGAATATCATTATCATAAATGCAAAAACGCCGTCGCAATCCTTTCCGTTCCCACCTTTTTTTTTATGTATTTTGAATCCACTTTTGGAACCTGTGGAATTAGCCTTTTCACTCCAAAATTACTAAAGAAACCTCATATACTTTATGGGGTTAATTGCGAAAAAAATATTTACAAACAACCGTCTTATGCTTTATTGTTTATAGTCATTTCCCCTTTTGCACCATACAACACTAGAATTAACACATAAAGTCAATGACGTAACATGCAATCGGTGTATGCTAAACGAGTGAAGAACCGTAAACTACACTATAATATCAACTAAATGCAAAGTAAGGTGAGTTTATAATTACAAGCCAAATTAGTAAGGCATATATGTGTGTTGAAGTGCAAAGCAAAATTACACAAGTACGCAAAACTTAAATTTAGATAGTACATTTTAGATGTGTTGGTGTATGGGTTTGATCTTTTTAAAGAGAGATTTTATTTATGTTTGTTGACGTGACTAAAAGTGGGATCCGATCATGCTTCTTCTACCTTTCTGCTGACCTGAACTCTTATTTTCACATTGTCGTGTCTAGATAGACCAAATATTCATTTTGGGTGCCAATCTTGTTTTGCAAAATATTTTGTATTTAAAAATAGTATCTACTAAAATATCAAGAGAAGTAAAATTTTATATTTTAGTCAATTTTCTGTAATTAGCTATAATTAATAGTGGTGAAACTCGGTTTTTCAAAAGATTGTTTCAGCTTCCCACAACCTTGTATCATACAATTTTCTTTTTATAAAACAATATAGCAAGTCGTGAAAGGCACCATTTCATTAAATTTATGTGACAAAATTGATAGACGATGGCGTGTGCATTTTTTACGATGAGTTTTCTAATATTTTGTAGCTAGGTGCATGTACATCACATAAACCATCGCATACCCACGCATGTACTTGGGTTATTATTATATGAAAGACTGACTAGATTGCAAAAAATTTCATCTAACAGGATGGTAGATGTACCTATGAAGACCCCTATTTATTTCAACTATTTCAAAGAAACATATAAAATATACAGGGAAAAAATATTCTATATAAATATATATCTTGTTTTTAATGGGATACGTGGCCAACTAATGATCAATTGAGACAGTATTTAGATTTTGATACATCTTAATGTCCAAATATATATATATTTTCAAAATGTCAAAATATGTTAAAAAAAATCATCTTCAACTTGGTCAAATGAGTTGTCCTTTGCTCTCATCTCTTGTTTCCTTCACATTTTGATATTTTTTACTCAGATTTGGTAGGTTAGGTTCACAGTTGATTACTGCCATTATCATTCTTCCACATCTGTTAACCGCCAAGGCGCCAACATCAACCACCATTTCATTTGCCAAATCACGTGATCTCTCTCTCTCTCTCTCACACACACACTCTCACACACACAAACACACACACACCATTCTTAAAGGTAAATGCTACAAGAATTCGTTCTCATCGTAACTCTGTTCTTCTTTAATTGTAATTAAAGGATTGTAATTTACTCACACCAAGCAAAACATCCGACCAATATAAAGCTTGATGTGACACTGTTCTTTTATTTTTATTATTTATTATTTTATTTTTATTTTTCTGGGTAGACATTCAATTTTCTACCTAAAAGCATTCCTGGCCTCTGTGGGACCAAATTAAATGATTGCTGCTTTAAAAGAATGAAATGAGTACGTATTATTATCACATTTCACGGTCATCCCGAAAAGAATTCCTATACGCCATTGTTGAGGAAAAACTGTGTCGTTTACTTCGTTAAAAAAATGAAGAGTATCTTATGACTGGAGTTTTAAATATATAGTTGCATATATATATATATTTAGAAGTGAAATATCCTTGTGTATTTTTGTACAAATATATATATATATATATATATAGAAGTGAAATATCCTTGTATATTTTTGTACAAATAATTTGGTGACGGAATTGAGGTCATGTAACATTAAATTATTTTGTCAAAGTCGTTGTAGCATGATAGGTTTGACAAATTAAAATTTTAAAGATAGAAGTGAAGTTAAAGACCCTTTCAGGGTCAGGACTACTTGAGTCTAATTGTACAAAACACACTTATAATATCAAAAGTTACAAAATACTTTCTTCTATTATTTTTTATTTTTATTTTTATTTTTTTCAACAAACACACTTGATTGATAGATCAAAAGTTACAATTATCATAATTTGAGTAAGAATTCTGGAGTTAAAAAGTTCATAGACTTGACACACGAGTCTATTGCTTTAATTTAAAAAAATATTTTATTTTAATATCTATATATGTATTTTTATCAAAACAATAAGCATTGTGTTACATATATTGCAGATGATTACTTTAATATCATAATTTCAACATCCTGCCAGAGAGGGAGAGAGAGTAATTTGCTACTTTTGGTAAATTGGGGTGTTTATTTTTTATTTTTTAAAAATATATAGAAGGGAGAATTTTACAAATACGAGGGAGTTTAGGGTAATTTAACCTCAATGGTATTTGTTATAATAAATAAAAATTCAATGAACTTAAACAATACTCCAAAACGAGGAGGGTAGTGGGCCATTGGCTGCTTTTCTACTGTAATATGGGGAAGTTGGGGCACGAACATGAACATGGAGAGGGGATGATGATTTATATATAGAGTTATATACGGTGTGTGTGTATACTGTATTTATATATATATATATGAGGGTATTTTCGGAATGTATAAAAATTCTCTTTCCCCCTGAGGCGCGTTTATTGTACAAACTGGCGACCAGCGAAATTTAAAAAATACTTTACGAAAATACTCCCATTTGTAATTTTCTTTTATCATTTTTATATTCTCTATTCTTCACGACTTTGTTTTTCGTGTGATGCTTCAAGTGTTTTTCGTGTTCTGTCCAAACACATCTCATTTGGCGTTGCGTTCGCTCAACTCCGCTCATCAGATTCCTTCCTCTTCGTCACGTCCTTCGTATCATTGCCCTCGCAAATTCCATTCCATCCAAGTGTTTTCTTTCAACACACACTTAAGTTTCTGCTTCCAAAATCATGTGACTGTATCAACTGCATCAACAGGTACAATGAATTTCCTTTTAATTCTTTAAATGTGTTGCATTCTCTGTTTCTAAACATGTTTAGGAGGTACTTTATCTGTTTATTTATTTTTTTCGGTGTAATTTTTGTTATGGATCGATGCCAAAACTTGATCTGTTCTTGATCTGAAAAATATCCAGTTTCTCTTACTTGTCTGAATTCTTTAGTTAATATTCGTTTATCCTAAACGCCTGTTTGGTTGCTGAGAAAATTGGAGGATTTAAGCGGAATTTGTTATACGTTCATTTCTGTTACTAAAAGCTCGCCTCGCAGTTGTTTTGGGCTCGATTTGTTATTGTTTTAGGCTCAATTTGTTAGAGGATTTTGTTCATATGGAACAATCCGCAATTGAAGTTCGCTGTTAATATTTTTTTTTGTGCATTTTCTCAGCAACCAATGTAGATATTAAACAAATTGACGTTTGACTTCTTATTTTTTTAGACTTTTCTTTTGTTGTTGAGTTCTGAATTTTCTGGGTCCTCTCCTCGTAATTGTTGTTTCAGATAGAACTTTGACTGGTATCTGTTAGTTTTTGACTTTTTAAAAAAAAACTTTGATTAGATTCATATAAGTGTGATTGATCAGGCATATGTAGAACTATCTTCAAGCTGTATTTGGACTATCCTTGCTGAGTCTTGTCATTTCATAATAATCAAATTTTGATGGTATAGAGTTCATTTTTTTTAATTATCTTTATTAATTCTTTCGAACACTTCATGTTTATTAAATCTGGTGAGAACCGTTATTGGATAATATGGTGTAAGGCTTTTGTTTTTCTGAGGGCATTTTCTCTATATGGTATTCAGATTGCTTTGTCTAATATTATCAGGTACAACAATGGACCATTTATAAAACATTCAGAATTTTATTTTACACGTTTTTGCGAATATTTTCCTCAATTCCCTTTTGGCCTTTTTAAATAACTTGAATTTCCTTAAGTTTCATGCTATTGAGTTCAAGAGTTGACAATAACATTGGAAACAAACGAATTACTTGGTTTGGTTTTGTTTATAGGTTTATCGACGATTTTTCAGGTTTGTTGATGGACTGGATGCTTGACTAGAAAATATCATAGCACAAACAAGGAGATGAAAGGAGAGTCATCTGGACTGATTATTGGGATTTCAATAGGGGTGGTAATTGGAGTACTTTTGGCCATATTTGCTCTGTTCTGCATTAGGTGCCATAGGAAACGCTCACAGATAGGAAATAGCAGTTCCCGGAGGGCAGCAACCATCCCCATACGTGCAAATGGCGCTGATTCTTGTACAATATTATCAGACTCATCTGTTGGCACAGAATCACCCAAAACATCTGGGCAGAATGGCATTTCATTATGGATTGGAGGACTTAAAAGGGCTAATGTGGTTTCTGCTTCTGGAATACTTGAATACTCTTACAAGTATGGTTTTCTTTCCTTTTTTTCTTTTCTTTTGGTATTTGATGATTAAACTAATTTACCTTATCACTTGATTTCAAACTAACTGTTCTTTACTAACATGGATGGATATTATGCGATGAGAATGTGAAGGCTGTAATGATGTTGCCAGACTCATATAGCCTTGTTTGTAGATCTGTAGTAAATTTAACTTCTGTTCATAATGTTGTATGGCCACCACGATTTTCACATTTTAATCCCGTACTTCATTTCTCCAATATCTACAGACTAGAAAAAGGCCATGCATCATTGAGATATAGTGAGGCCTTCCTATTCCTGAATTTTTGAATCAAATTGATTTTGCAATGAAATCGGACTAAAATAAGTATATATGTTGAAAGGAAAAACAAGTTGGATACTTGGTACAAATTGTCAAATATATGGTGGTAAATCTCTTTGCACCGGAGAAATTTTGGGCTGGGTTTAATCCCTTAATTGCTGAACAGGATAGTTAAATGTTTGGCTGGGTTGATTCCTTAATCCCTCAATGTCACTGAGAGGAATTTAGTTTGTTAGCTTCAAACAGTTAGATACCACATCTATCAGTCCTAGGTCTAGCACCTTGCATTGGCGGGACTGGTCCTGGTTGATGCTTTCAACTTTTTTCCCAAACCAGCACCTAGTATGAGAACTAGAGAATGCTCAGTCAGATATGCAGCCTCACATTTGATTTTAGTAGTGACAGAAATACATTTTTCCAAATGTTTCAGATGTAATATGTATGCATAAATACGCAAGGGCTACCCTAGTGCAAAAGGCTACCTTACCATTGCATAGATACATAAATGTGTACTTACATATATATGAATATATGTGTATTTAGTGCATGTATATCCTTCTTTTTGTTTGCAACAGTGTATGGATATTTTATTTTCACACTTGCTGAGTTTTTTTTTTTTTTTTCTCCTTCTCAACCTTCAAATACTGCTGAATCTTCTTTTTCGTGATAGATATCACTATTATCTTTGATTGATTGTTAAAAGCAGCTATCCTGCGAAGTGTAGATTTCCTCTTTAGTTCTTTTTTGCTTCTGGAATTGCCCTTGTCCATTTGCAAGTTTCTCCTTTCGCTTTTTGTTTTTCTAACCTTGTTTCTGTTGATACTAAGCAGGGATCTACAGAAAGCAACCTATAATTTCACTACACTGGTAGGCCAAGGGGCATTTGGTCCTGTTTATAGAGCTCAGATGTCAACTGGTGAGACTGTTGCTGTTAAAGTGCTTGCAACGGATTCTAAACAAGGGGAGAAGGAGTTTCAAACAGAGGTAGTGGTGGAAAAGGATTAAATCTAGGCACGTAATGGTTGAAACCGTATTGCTATTTACAACATGCATGCAAAGACTTGTGTCTTGAAGTTAACATATATGGTTGTTTTATTGCTTAGCTATCATGTTGCAACTTGCCCAAACATGTCTTGACCATTGTTGTATTTGGTTGTTTTGTTAGATATTGCTTCTGCAAGTGTGTGAAGATTCCTTCAATTTTTTGGATCAGGTGTTGAGACCATAAATTTGTATATTTATTTGCGAAGGCTCCAAAAACAATGTTAGAAATATAGCTGTCACAGTTGCAACATTACTGGCTATATGAATATGTCATGCTATATTACATGACACCTCAAAATGTGTGAAGTATATGCCTTATTGAAAAAATATAAATAAAGAATATGAAATCTGATATGATGCTGGTCAGAATCATGACCTCCAGGAATGTCTAAAAAGGGAAGAAGATGAATCATGTTTCTTCTAGTAGGAATTCCCCTGGATACTTCCTTGATCTATTTCTATTATACATGGTTATTTTAAATAATTGAGCACCTTTACTGGACATAATCTGTTGCATAGACAACCACTGGGTATGAAAAAGATTTTGAACAGTGTCCCCGTGTCCTATAATCTGGGGATTAGACATATATAAAAGTTGAAAAAACTTTTGCACTAAACACATTATGGAAATAAATATGATTATATGTCAAATTTTATCTCTAGATTGAAAATGTTGTGCTGATATGAATCCAAATGACATTTTGATAAATTTACTTGATTATGAAATTATAACTTCCACTCATGATTCTCAAACATGTCTTCATTTTTTCTACTTGTGGTAAACATTAGGAGTACCAGTCAATTAGGAAATTTGTAATCCTTTCCTTTGATTGTTGTTGCTTTAAGTTTCTTACTCTCAATTGTATTCGATATACTGCATGAATACTGGTTATTACGATAAGATGAATCACAACTGAAGTATGAGAATATTTGGGAGAATAATATGGGGAACTTGAAAAGAAATGAACTTGTCATGTCAATGGAAATGGGTGAAATTACGTCATAACTTTCTGAAATATTTTCTATTATAACTTGCGTCATTAACTTGCTTACGTGATTTTCATAACTGAACTCAGAAAAAATTGATTAATTTATGGCACAATTGAATGTTCACTGTATATCTTGCATCCAGAAGTTCAATATCTTTCTTGCAAGTAGCAGTCTATATACTTGTTATTTTAATGAGATCTTGAGAGGTTATGTATGGAAATAGATTGAGAAGGAAAAACAAAAGACACCATATATGTGTGGATTGGTGCTAATGCAATGCTAAATCGCTAATTTTGCTAACTGGTCCGACAAAGTCAGTTTTGATTGGTGGTTGAATTAACTTGTACAATCTAAAAAAAAAAAATACGAACTTTCTTTTAAATATCCTGATAATGGTTTGGGTAATCAACGTACTAAAGTCTGGAAAAAAATTCAGTAAATTTAGTCGAATTTAGGATGGAATTTTTTTTTTTTTGCATTGATACTTGCAAATTAACCATGTATACTTGTTCTGGCTGCCAGGGAAAACTTATTATTACATATTTTATCAGAATATATCTCATATATTCTTCCAGTGTCATGTAATTAGCAACCTCTTTGTTTATACCAGTTAGGTTCATCAGTTTTAGCCATTTATTTATTTATTTATTTTTGTCAGGTTACGTTACTGGGAAGGTTACATCACAGGAACCTCGTGAATTTGGTTGGATATTGTGCAGAAAAGAGCCAGCATATGCTTATCTATGTCTACATGAGTAAAGGCAGTGTGGCTTCTCATTTGTATAGTAAGTTGGCAATGAACTCTATTCTCTGAAGACTTTATAGGAAATTAAACTTTCTCTTGGAAGTAGTATTTGATTAGTCAATTAATGTTCATCTTTCTGCAAATAATGAACTGTAATATAACCAACATCATCTAATTTAGGCATTAGATTCTGTAAATCCATCATTCCTAGAAATCCGATGGCTAAAGTTTTAGTGTTGAAGGGCTTGTGAGCGATTACATCCATCACACGCTTAAATGGATGTTTCTTTAGTGTATATCCATAGTCCAATTACTTGAGAGGCTCTAATCATGTAAACCAAACAATATCACTATTTTCCTTGGATAATCTCAAAGCACTTGTCTAAGAGTACTGCATGGACAGGGCTGGACCCACCATATTTTTGTCACAGTTTGAAAGGACCCAATTTTTTATATTTTAATATTTACATTTTATTTTTTAAAAAGACAGTCAGGAATAAGGTTGCTGAATTGGCGGTTGCGAGAATTCAATTATCTTTGTGATACTGCAGATATCCTCATGGCCATCCATGCATATGATTCTACAGACTATTTATTGGCTTCTCTGTTTTTTTTTTTTGTTTTAATGGCTGAATAGGATGGAGTTATGAATTTCTACATTTGCTGCCATGAGGGAAAAAAATTCCCGTCTTTCTTTCTCATTTTGACTAAATCTTTGCAGCTGCATTCCACCTGAAAATTTATGGTAGTTTAAATTCCATGGATTATACTTCTGGACTGACTAATTTTCAGACAGGTTGAAGCTTAAAACTATCAACAACTTAAATAATTATTTTTAGTTTAAAGTTTATGCAAATGTCCATGAATCAAGTTTTCTTGATTCTCTCTTTTGACAGCGTTTCCAAATGAACTGGACCACTTTAAAACTGTCAATCTGTATACTTTAGGGTTTTGTTGGTCTGGTTTTTAGCGACTCCGTCCCTATGAAATATTAGAAAGAACAGCATATAGTACGAATGTTTAAATATAGTTGTTTTAAGATATTATTTTCCTTTATTTTTTCTAAAGAAATTTTATGCTACGAATTCCACCTTTCTTAATCCCAGGCTGTGCAGCTAGGATACCAGTTTACCAGTGAATTGGCAGGCCTTTTGGTTGAGTCCCATCCAGTTCAGGAACATTGGTTCTGGACTCATCACTGGAAACGAATTGAATCCTGTACGGTTATATATGTGATTTGATAGAATGTCACCATGGTTTAATGTGATCAAGTTGCTATAATCAAATTAGTTGCAAATAGAGAAGATAGATGCTGTATAGATTTTCTTTTTTGGTCATATGCAATTTCTTTTTTCAGTTAATGATCATTCTCATCTTTTCTAGTGTTAATTGTTTGGATGTTCAGGTGAAAATCATGAACCATTGAGCTGGGATTTGAGGGTTCAAATAGCTTTAGATGTAGCTAGGGGCTTGGAGTATCTTCATGATGGGGTATACTTATCTTATTTGAACTTACAAGTGTATGTTTCTCATGTGCAGTCACAGTAAGCTAATCTCATGCATTTATACTCAATGATACTTATTTATGCGTTTTCTTTTTTCACTTCAGGCTGTTCCTCCTGTGATACACCGGGACATCAAATCTTCCAATATTCTGTTGGATCAGTCCATGAGAGCCAGGGTATGCCTTTATTGTTTATTGTTAATTGTTGTTGCCTCTAAGCAGGAAACGAATATAAAATTCTCTCACAAACTAGCGTCTTTCAGAAGATCTACAATATAAATTATTTTCATAATGAGATCTCTTTTCGCAAAGTTCTGGATAATACAAGTAATATTACTTAGCTGATATGTGCTGAAGGGGATGAAGCAGTATTTTTTGTGTTGTTTATATATAAATGTTCTTTTTTTCCCAGTAAATTGGTCATACTATAAGTGTTATAAGGTGCTTACTCTTGAATATGGGTTAAATTGGTTCAAGCAGGTAGCTGATTTTGGGCTGTCAAGAGAAGAAATGGTTAACAAACATGTGTCGAATATACGGGGAACATTTGGATATCTTGATCCGGAGTATATATCAACAAGGGCGTTTACAAAGAAAAGTGATGTTTACAGCTTTGGAGTTTTGCTCTTTGAACTTATTGCAGGCAGAAATCCACAGCAGGGTCTGATGGAATATGTTGAGCTAGTAAGCACTCTCTCTCGCTGTGTGTGTGTGTGTGTGTGTGTGTGAATGAAAATTAACCAAATGGAAGCATGCACATAATATGTTGGTGGTTTTAGTTGCATCATTCATCAACATGACGGCACTAAGATTTTATTCACAGTTGATCCTCATCATGTTATATTTATGCATGCAATACTGTAATGCTTTCTAAACAAACTATGATGAAGTTCAATAGCAGGCATTTTGAATTCGAACTCAATAGCAACAGAATGATTAAAAGAGTATATGTTAAAACCACAGTAGTAACATTATACAATGGCTGTTGAAATTATAGTAACAAAAATTAATGTACAAGTCATTACAATTCTTTTTTTGTCATAAAAAAACATTTCGGATTGCCTAGTACACTTAGTTTTGGATGACTAAAACCGATTCCAATTAAATTTATTTTTTATGATGATGTAGGCAGCACTGAATTCGGAGGGGAAAGTTGGGTGGGAGGAAATTGTGGATTCTCGTCTTGATGGGAAATTTGATGTGCAAGAACTGGATGATATAGCAGCTCTTGCATATAAATGCATCAATCGTGCCCCGAGAAAACGGCCTTCCATGAGGGACATAGTCCAAGTGCTATCCCGTATCCTTAAAGTGAAGCACAATAGAAAGCACCACAAGCCCTCTTTATCTTCCACAGCAGAAGAGTTTAGCATTGACGTGGACCAGCAAGAAAATCGGATTTCAGTCACAGAACACCAGCGAGTGGAATCCGTGGATAGCGCAGCTGACACATATGAAGTTTAAACTGTCAGTTTTTCCATTTGTTGACTTGTTGCATTCCTTTATTTTGGTTTTGGCTTGTAATATATTTGCAGTTTCTATAGGAAGTAGAGGGAATTAGGATTCAGTTCAGTGTCTCGTCTTGTAAGTACGGCGTAGCATAGCACATTTTCTTTTTCTTTGCTGCATATCCCAATTTTTGTATATTTACGAAATTCAAACGAAGAAAAACCAGCCTCTGTAATTTTTGACTCTTGTAATGTTGTGAATATCATCTCAATGTTATCGAAAAAGACACCATCATATATCTTGTTTGCAGCTGTCTTTAACTGTGGATTTTGAATTGCATGTTGCACTTACCCAAAAAAAAAAAAGAATTGCATGTTGCTAACCAGAAAAGGGTTTAGCCAAAGTGGTATATGCAGTTGGGGGTGCAACTTTATGAGTAGAGTAAGCACAACCAAAATATTTTAAGTACATAAGCTGATTGTTTTATAAAGCAGCAATTCTGGAGATTTCCTTATCTGTACAGTTTCATGAAAAGAAATAATATGCTACATTGCTACATCATAGTATTTGCTAAATACACAATTGATTAAATGCTACACAAATCGAATATGCTGATGACGAGCAACGACTAAATGGTTGAAAATAGTGTAGCGAGGGATGAACGGTAACTAGTTTTGTCCTCTCAATCTTAGCGCAGATCCCATACAAATAACCTACATGCCATTCATCATCCAATGCATATACCTCCTTCAACTTCACGAATAGCCTGGCCGTCAAAAAACTATCAGAGCCAGCCTGATGCGCCAACCCCAAACGTCGTACTCCCAAACTGTTGGCCATTTTCTGTAGTCCAATCTCACCCCCGTGCAATCCTCCACAATACCGTGCCATACACTTGAGGTCATATACGCGACCAAGAACATTAGCGATGCTTTCGCTGAACTCCAGACATGAATTCGGCAATGGACCATTAGTTACGAGCTTTACCATATAGGCCATATCATATAAACCATGGAACGTAATCCATTGTTTGCCATCATGAGACGCCACTATACTCTTCAACTTCGATGCGAAAATGTTCGTGTCAACCCCTTCTCCTCCATGCTGATTCTTTTTGAAACTAATACCAGGACTTTTTCGGAAGTTAAACTGCCATGTACCTCCGGTATTTCCATTACAGTCAAATAACGTAAAAGCTATTTGGGTCAATGACATCCTATCAATATTGTATTTCAGATCTTCATATAGTTGATGCTCCGAAGAATTCCGTGGCGTCACATGCAAGAAACCCGTAAATTCGCTATCAAATGCCACATACGGGTAGTTATACATTACACTGTCAAATCTTTGTATTTCCCATGAAAAGTTCTTCCTCCAAACCTCTTTAATGGACATGTTGCAATCTTGAACCTAAGCTATGAAGAAAGTGAAGAAAGCAACAGATGACAGAGATGTGATGGACAAGGGCTGTGTTCCGCGAAGGCTGTCGCCGAATCCAGGAACAAAAGAAGAAAGAAGCAACAATGCTAATTGAAGTGGAGAAAGGAAATAGAGAAGGCGTTTGCTGTGTTTCTTGGTGCGAAGGCTGTGTTCCGTATGTATCAAACCTGGGTATCGATGCAGATGACGGAGATGTGATGGACAAGGGCTGTGTTCCGCGAAGGCTGTCACCGAATCCGGGAACAAAAGAAGAAAGAAGCAACAATGCTAATTGAAGTGGAGAAAGGAAATGGAGAAGGCGTTTGATGTGTTTCTTGCCTTCTTGGTGCGGTTCTTGGTGGGAAGGCTGTGTTCCGTATGTATCAAACCGGGGTATCGATGCAGATTCCGCTCGTCGGTAAGTTTCTTGGTGCCAAAAGAAAAGTGAAATCGTCAAAAGAGAAATGATGACCTGTGTTTCTTGGCGCGTTTCTGGCAAGAAGGCTGCTACGTACTAAGGTCGCCGGTACTGAAGATGCCTCTTTTCCAGGATTTCTGAGACAGCGCCGGTGTTGCCCAATTACTCAAAGGGTTCGGCCAACTTCACCAAACGAGGAACAAAAGAAGAAAGAAGCACTCGTGCGAAGGCTGCTGCTCTTTACTTCTCTTACAAAATGATAATAAGCCTGCCGCCGCATATGATATATATATATATGTAGGTCTTAACTTAACTTACAAGATTACAAAAATGATAATAAGCGTGCCGCCGCATAGCATATGATATGTAAGTTGTTTATATCTATATCTATGTGACAAATTTCTTAATATTTTTAGATTTTTAAAAAATATAAAATAATTTTTATTAAATATTTTACATTAAATTTGTTTTACTAACAATTATTATAATTATTAACTCGAATTTAGCTTGGAATTCTAAAAAGTACTAAATTAATCACACTAAAAGGCACCAAATTATTATAATTGTTAACAATTTTGTAACAATATCTACACTTAATTGTTAATTTTTATTTAGTTTGGATTTTTTTTTTTAATTAAAAGTGTACTTAATTTTTTCTAACACAATTATTATTTCATTGGTTATTAATTGCATTTTTTTTTATCCTTTTATATTTTAAATTTTCTATTCTAAAAATGTAAGTCATTTTTTTTTTTAATTTCTTAATATGTTATATTTTTTTAGTTCATTAAAACACGAGTTCTATGTGGTATTAAAATAATATTATTGGTTACACTTCCAGACCCCACTTTAAATCTTTCCCTTCAACCACTTTGAAAACCCTAATTCCACTAAAACACACGTCCTCTATCTTATTAAATATGTGTTTGGTTTTTTAGTATCATTAACAGTTCATAACATGTACGAAAGGGCTTTAAGTTTAAACCCTCCGTTTTCTGCTGTTTCTTAAAAGTTTCATAATGTGTATTTAAGGACTTCAAAGGTTTCATCAGGTCGGGTTCAACCTTTTTTGCTTGCCTATTAGTTCCAAACCATTAGAAGAAATCTTGAGTTGCAAATATTTGTTTTAAAAATTCATCCATCAACACCTTCAAATACTCATATCAAGAAACTTTGAATTTTCAAATGGGTTTCAGATTCAAATTGATTATTCCGTGAAGAATGAGACCAAGTAATCAGGAAAAATGGATAGTTTGATTATTAGAAAAAAGAAAGACAAATTATTGGAAGAAGTCTAGGATAGTGTGTCTGAACCTAGATTGATCTCGAAGATTGGTGCATCTGGTTAAGGCGAACTGGAATGACTCAAATCAAAATGATGAGAAACAAATCATAATAAGGCAATAGAATGGGAATTGCTAGGATTGCCGACCAAAGTTGTTGAAGGTTCCGTCTAGAGAGTTTTGGTTGGTGAGAATGATGATTTTCGTAATTGTACTCTTTCTTTTCTTTTTCTTTTTCTTCACTGTTTCCTTAATTTGAGTTTTTGACTCTTTTGGAGACTAGCAATTAGGACCTCTGGTGGTGGTGAAAAAAAGAAGCAAAATGTAAGAATTTTATTATTATTTCTCTTGCGAGAGGTAATTGTATATATTTATGTATATATCTATCTGGTTTATTATTGTATGTATCTATATATCATACCATTTTACTACAAAATCCTTCAATTATTGTATATATCTATATATCATACCATTTTACTACAAAATCCTTCAATTAAGTCAGCCAACTAGCACACTTTTTTTTTTTTCTGTAAAACAAGTTTCCCATTATCATGATCCGGCTCATGACATCCATTATTTCATTTTCAGAAGACATTAACAAGTGTTGTCCCTTTGGAATCATAGTGATGGAAAGTTTATTTATTATAGGCCTAATTGCTTGATTTATTTGCACCAAGTGATTGTCCTCATACTTAAAATTGTGATCGTCTGAGCTTCTACCATCTCACCAAGCATGGTTTCTTCATCTAATATGCAAGCATTACGGAATTGGTGGTTATGTCAGCAAGTGTCTGCAGCTGGTTTCGGATGGAAATTCCCTCCACATCACTCGGTACATTTGTAAAGAATGCTCCATCAATTTAAAGGGCGGTGTGCAAGCTAGTTATCCAAACTTGATTTTTGGCCCATGTTTCCATATTTATGAGCAACTTAGGAATATTTTTGTTCCCATTGTTGTTTGCTTAATGCTCAAGTGTTTTTTATTATTTATTTAAAAAAAGAATATGTATTGCTTATGAAAGGGGAAAACAGAGAAAAATTGGACTGGTTTGTGCTTTATGCAATCTAATTTCTTTTATCTTGGTGACAACAAAACCATGTTGCCCTAACTAGAGAGAGTGACATGTAAAACGGAGATGACCCATCAAATTATCACAATTTACACAACTGTGCTTCCTATGTTACTTGCATCATCAAACTCTAGCGAGTAATACAGACTACAGCAGCGCGGAGTGCCAGATTAGAGCTCCAAGTAATTTAATTATCAACGACTCTTGGAGGAATTAGGACCAAGTATAAACCACTCAAACAAGATCGAGAACTAAACAAATATCCAGAACCAGCTCTGCTAAGAAACCACTCAAACAAGATCCAAAACTAGCCCAAACAGAAATCATCAAATCAATGGAGTTCGATATTCATTTTCTTAATTTTCAAGCATAAAAATCACAAATTTTCTATAATGTGACATATACTAGCTTATTATGCCTAATGGTTGAATTTTGATATCTTAGGAATCATAAAATAATTTTGTTTATAGTATTAACAAAACAAAGATATTCACTTTGATTTACCAAAAAAACAAAATTTATTTACCAAAAAAAAGATATCCACTTTGCAATGCAAAATGTTGGAGGAGATCAAGTTTTGAAAAACTACCACTATCGACAAAGGAACTCTAATTAGTGCTGAAACAATTTAAAATTTTGAATTCATGGCAAATAAAAGGTTAAAGGAGACCAAGTTTTGTGATTTATTTTTATTTTGTTTTGAGGATATTTTAGGTATTTTAGTCTTCAAATTGGCAAAATGTCCTTATTTGTTCAATTTAGAAAATGTAGAGAATTTATTTATTTATTTTTTCCTTAGTTGTACTCACATACAAAAATATAAGGGTACTTTTGAACACCAGATAAGTATTTGCATCTTTGTATGTAAGGAGAGTTTTTTTTTTTTTTTTTTTTTTTTGACACTTTACCCTAATTTAAATAGGATGCCCAATAATGAATAAAATGTAGGGACTTCCAACGAAGACTCTAGGTCACTGTGAACCCAAGTCAGAGCAAAGCAATTTTAAATCTTGTTTTGGTGACCAAAATTAAAAATTATAACAAAAAATTAAAAATTGATGTTGAGTTTGTCACTATTAGCAATTTTTTTTTTTTTCACCAAAAATTAATTTTTTCTTCTACTTCCATTCATTAAAACCTGCTTTTAGGTGAGATTCCTTTATTTTCTAATTTGTGTTCAATCCAAGTTGGACATACTTCATCCAATTTGGTGACGCTCGAAAAAAAAAATTAAATTAAGTTGGTACTATCCAATTTAATTTGGATTTGCCCCATTACTCTAACAATTCTAAAGGACCAAAATAACTGTCTTCTCCCTCTTTATTCTCTCTCTAACTCTTCTCCTTCACCACGTCTCAACCCGAACCCATTATCATCGACCATCCACATAGCCATGACCCTCGACGCCACCTACCTCCGCGGCTCCATCGCCGGAGTCTTCTCCGTCCTCCAACACTGCGAATGACCTCAAACTCTTCCTCCACCACCACCAACTTCCTCTGGGCAAGGATTTACGAACTTGGATCACTGAAATGGTGGCCTCTATGGGTCATTCTTGTGAGAAATCCGTGGATTTGCTGTCCCAGTACACGAATTACAAGGTCAATGGACCATGCCCAGACGACTGGAACCTTGCCCAGAAGCTGATTTTGCGAGGTTGCGAGCCATTGCCGAGAAGAAGGTGCTTTGCAAAGTCAATTCCTAAGGTGGATCTTTATACTTTTCCCATTTCACTTTGGAAAAATGCGAGTGATAAGATTTTTAGTTGTAGTGGTCTTGGTTGCAAGAATATAAACTGCTTGAATGGCAAGAAATTGAATAGAGATTGTGTTAATTGCTTCAATGGTTAATGGGTTTGAGAATCGAAGGCATATTAAGGCTAAAAGCAAGAATGATTTCCTCATTGATGATTTATTAGCTATGGGAAGTGGTGGAATCAGAAATGGGTTTGATATTGGTGGTGGGTCTGGTACATTTGCTGCTAGAATGGCAGAGAGGAATGTGACTGTAGTCACTAACCCTCTAAATATTGATGCGCCATTTAGCGAATTCATTTATGCGAGAGGGCTTTTTCCTCTGTTCTTGAGTTTAGATCATAGATTCTCCTTTTATGACAACATGTTTGATTTGGTTCACGCCGCAAGTGGATTGGATATTGGGAGCCAGTTGGAGAAATTGGAGTTCTTAATGTTTGATATCGATCGAATTTTAAGGGCCAGTGAATTGTTTTGGTTGGAGAAACCCGAATTAAATTGGGTGTTTACTTAATTTTTATTTTATTTTTGACACGTGTTCGACCAAGATTGATCCACGTTGGATGACCCTCAAGTCCTCCCGTGGGTCACTTTTGCCTTGACGGCCTATCAACTTTAATCACCTGACTTTGTGTGGTCATAACTTCTTCGTTCGGAACCCAAATAGAGTCATTCTTGAGTTCATTTTCAAGTTTTTTGAGTTAGCTTTTCAATTGGACCAATCTCATCCCCAAATTCCATTCATGTTAAAAGTTATGATTATTTTAGTGGAATAGTGTTGAAAATTACCTTGAACCAGGTAAGGGTACTTTTAAAAATTTATAATTGATGACAGTACAACTTTACCAATTGTCATAAAACGATTAAGAATGATTATTTTAAACCTCATTTGATTATTTTAAAGATGGATTACCCTTTTACATTATAAAATGATCATTTTACCCATGGTGTGTCCTCGGGTCTGGTTAAGGACCCGGTTAGCGATCCGGACTCCCGATTTGGATCGTTACAATTATGGTCATTTAATAAATTATAGTTTAAGCATTTGGTCGTTTTGTAACAAAATGTGATAATTCAGAAGGTACTATGTACAAAATATACTTTGAACATAGTTTTGAGGAACTTTTTTGCACTTTTCTTGTGAAATATAAGCCATGAATAAAAAATTGAAGTTAAATGATGTAGAATACTGATAAAAGTATTTTTCAGGGATCTGATATAGGAAACCTATTATTAGTCACATATTTTGTAACAATTACATGTGAAATTAAAATTAACTCGATTAATCCACCTATTGACCAGATCAACCAGATTCCAATACAAGTTTACGGTACGAAAAATAAGGATTTTATACTTTGGATTAATCTCTCAACCTGGCCGAATTGCAGTCAAAGTTGAATCCGATACCACATTGTGTTTCTAAAGCAGAAGAGATAATAACCGGGTCGGGTTTAATCCGCCAAAGATGGATAGGCTTTCTCAGCAACAGTGCGCCCGGTGCGTATCTTATCCTTTTCATTCCTCATCATCGCCTATAGTTTTGGTACAGTGTATTCTTCCACAAGTAGCAATTGTTTAAGCCACAACTAAAATGGCCGCAATGGCTGCACTACAAAGCTCCTTTTGCGCTCTTTCTCTCACCTCCAATTCCTTCTTGGGCCAGCGCTTCTCACCCCCTCTATGCCCACCTCTGGTATGCCATCTTCTCTCTCTTAGCTTTTAATGCATGCTATTGTGATACTGAAAGTTCTTAGTTTCTGTTGTTCTATTTTTGAAACTTCTAGTCATAATTTGATTTTTGGTTGATAATTTGAGATGGGTTTTGGAAATTTGCAACTAATATCACCAGGTATTAACTTGGGAGTGGCATCTTCTATCCCAATCGAGATAAGGTGGATAATAATCTGCATAACCTTTTTATTTGGAAAATCAATCATAATCCGGATGCAAAAGTACAGCAGACCTGGGTCTGAATCCAATTTTCATTTGATTTTGGAGGTTATGGCAAGCAATTTCACCAAAGTAAAAATAAAATCAAAACCCTTTTGTGCCTTTTTTTTTTTGTAAGCTTCAAATGGGTCTTGCACAAGCTAAAGCTTATGTTCTATTTTTGGTGAATGAGTAATAACCCTGATATAATATTTTTTTTTTTTTTTTTTTTCCTGATGTAGTTTTATGGTCTCTGGTTTTTTGTTTTTGGTCATCATTGGACTTCTGCTTATGATTTCAAATAGGTGTTTTCTTTTTCTCTTTTCTTTTTTATTTTTATTTTATTTTTTTTTGGGGGGGGGGGGGGGGTTGGGTTGAAGAAATCAAAACCACATTTAAACGTGATTGTGAAGTGTTTGGTCACTGTGTGGGAGAGATCACCAATATATCAACATTGTGTTCCTTGATTCGTACAATTGACCGGTGTAAATAATTTGATTTGTTTGCAGACATTCACCTGCCATAATTGAATTAGTTGGGTGTGCAAATTCTTGCTTGAATTCCTTTTTGTGGCTCTGATTTTTTGTCATGAATTACGTTAAATTTACTGAATTCAACAAAGCTTGTCTCAACAACTATATCTAAGCTACATAATTCATTTCTTAACTAAGTTCCTTTGGCAGTCTTGTCTTCTGTCTATCATTCGGCATTGTGCAGTTTGCGCTTTTTGTTACTGCCTCAAATCTTACTCTTGTGGCCTTCTTCTTGTCCCTATGGTCCAGCAGAATGTTTATCATAACTCACCAAGAAGCCTGAGATGACAATCACTTTAACAAATGGAGAAGGTAGTTGTTTGTTTGATCTTGTTTTTCAAGTAGACTTTGTGTTTCTTGGAACTGGGCATTCTGCTTCAGTTGGGTTTGCAGTCTTACTCATTGTCATTTGGTTCACGCCATTAGGTTGTAAAATAAGGTACGTGTTTTGGTCTGTTTGGTATAGGCCTTAAAATTCCCAAGTCAAGGCCAAGTTTACCTATTTTAAGATGATGAAATCCTTGCCCTATTTTGGTGGGGTGACAATGACATGCTTGTCCTTTCTCCAATGCGTTAAATAATTTCAATATGACTTTCATTATTTTTGGCCCCTTGATGGGATACACAATTGTGGTTTACTCTTTAGAATCGTGGAGAAAAGCACAAATACCGTCTCTGCATTTATATTCTCATATCTTGTATGTACAAGCATAACTCTACTGCGAATTTTGCCTTTTCAATCTCATTCTTCCTTGGAGAGACCTAGTTAATGTAATATTGGGGAGTTAGGTTTTGTTGTCCTTCATGGTTGAATATACATAATTTATATATGAGCCATTCTCCAATTTTAATTTTTTTTTTTTTAAATTCAATTGTATGGTTCACTTCCTTCTTGTAGCAAATATAGAGGAGAGCAAGGACATAATGTAGCGGTGCTCATTAGTATGGCACTCTTCACTTGCCTCTATAAGGTGCCTTTTTTTCAATAAGTACCTATAAAATGTTACTTTCAAGTGAAAACCAGGAAAACGTTTGATAGAGTAATTAGGGCATCACCAATGGAGACAAAGAGAAGACATGGGAAGTCTTGACTCTAATGTTCTGACAAAAATTTGAAGAACTATTGTAACTCTAAAAAATGTCTCATGTACATAGAGGAGGATAAGACCAGCACTCTCGAGTTTTTCAGCCTAATGTTTATTCTTTGAACTATATGTTCAGATAAAGATTTACGCGGATGTGTATATCTAGGCCCGAACCATGTAAATCAATCTGTGTTGCAAACTATAAGGCCCAGGGAAGCGGGGAGGGGGCTGTTGATGGTGAGGATTTGGTGATTTTGAATTGCTTGTCTGGGATGAATATTAGTTTCTTCATATCCGTAAGTTCAGTTTGAAATATCTAGAAGTTGAATATTCAAACATTGTAAAATGAGATATAATTTTGTTTGATTTTCTTTTAACAAAATCTCTTGTTTAGAAATTGGTTGGCATTTTCTTCAATGAATTGTGTATGAGTTGATCTTGTAGGATGAGGACATTATTTTTTGGTTGCAATCTTGTTCTTGAAGTTTGTTTCACTTCAGATAACAAAAATCAAATAAAAGTCATAACTTGATAACAATTTTTGAGTGTATTGTTTCTGCAGGTCAAATCAACAGAGAAGCCATGCCCTATTGTTGCAAAGGTGGGTTTTTGGGTCTTTTTTCCTATTTTCATGTTATAATTATTTATATATATTTTTTCCTTTTCATTTATCCTTCCCCAAACAAAATTTAAGGAATGTATGGCAATCAAGGAAATGGTAAAAGAAACAACAAACCTGGATCACCATGAAGAGCCCTAGCGGTAGTCAATCGGTCACAATCAAAATGTGTTTTAAGTGCCTACCCCTTTCACTCTAGTTGGTTTCCAAGTGACTGGAGAGAAATAAGAAGAAAATGTACATAAATTTTTAAAATGTGTCTTTTAAAGCCTCCGCCTTCTTTTTTCTTTTTTTAAATAAAAAGAAGGGACCAAATGGAGTGTTAAGTTAGCATCTTCTAAAGCCCTTTTTTTTTTTTCAATATATATACATAAAGAAGAAGAAGAAGAAGTTGTTATGTTGGACTTAACCGAGAAAAGAAATAGATGTTAGAAATAAATGATCCCGCCATGCCATCAGACTAGTTTCTTAGTTCTTGCCAATGTACTCGTGGGCTATATGAAGGCTTGCGAGCCATAGGCTACCAGTTAAAATGGTGTTATTATACAAGTTTTTTACTTGGATTGGATCTGGTTGTCAACTTTGCTACTTTGCGGGTATTTCACCATCTTATCTATAGTTTATTGTGTTCCTCTTGCAGCTCAAGCGATGGGAGCGGATAAAATGCAAGCCAAACAGTCTTCCAGTGCTACAAAAAATGCATGTTAAGGTTGGAGATACTGTAAAACTTATTTCCGGACGTGAAAAGGGTAAAATTGGAGAGATAACCAAAATATTTAGACATAACAGCATGGTGGTAGTAAAAGAAATTAACTTAAAGACTAAGCACATGAAGAGCAGAGAAGAGGGTGAGCCAGGGCAGATAATAAAGGTTATCTTCCTTACCAGTTATTTTGGTTATCTTCTCTTTACTTTTCCCGTTATACTAGAGGTAGCTGCAAATGCACAGGAATGAGTGGTTATTTAAATTGCATATTAGGTTTCCTTGACATGATTGAGGCTACAAGTGACTCCTTGGAATTTGGTGTTTTCAGGTGGAAGCACCTATTCACAGCTCAAATGTGATGCTCTACTCCAAAGAACAGGATGTGACAAGCCGTGTGGGTCATAAAATCTTGGAGGATGGAAGTCGGGTCCGTTACCTAATCAAAACTGGGGAAATAATTGACAGTGCAGAGAACTGGAAGAAAGTGATTAAAGAGAGAGAGAAAACAGAAGTAGCTGCTGCTTCTTAGGAGCCCAGCTCGCATCTCCACCTGTAATGTAGACTGTAGTTACCGAAACTCTTTATTTCATTCCTCTTTGCATGATTTAAGTTCTTAGTTTTAACACTTTGTTGATCCGCAATTTGCAAGGGAAGTACTGTCCATGCTGCCGAACAGAAACAGAAACAGAAACTGAAAATGAGTTTTATTCTTGTAGTAGAAGCTTATGAAATATTTTGTTTATCGTTATGGTTAATGTCGGTAACAGATGGGTTTTGTCAATTTGATTGTTTGGATATTATGAATGTAAGGTTCAGTCCCATCTGATTTCTGGGAAAAAGGTCCATTTTATGGTTCTGTATTGGTGAAATGCCTACCCCAGGATGGACTTGCCTATTGTGCTCTACCAAGTGGGTGCGAGTTTCTTGTCAATTGTAAAAGAAACAAAAATACTAACATAAACTATATCAAATATTTTCTCTTTAAATTTCTATTTGAGATTCCTTATTGATTATGACCATCATCTCCTTCGTTTTCTTCTGTAAAGATTATGCAGTTCAATCATGTATAATACTCTCTTTCACGTCAATTGACAAAGCGACTCTGTTCAAAACTCGAACTTGCAACGATTATACAGTTCAATCATATATAATACTCTCTTTCACGTCAATTGACAAAGTGACTCTATTCAAAACCCGAACTTGCATGGTTGCATGCATGTATTTGATCACTCTTAACTTCTATTGCTACAGCAAGCAATAACTAAGTTTGTTTGTTTGTTTTTTTTTTTTTTTTTTTTTTTTTTTTTTCAAATATTTGTAGTCCTCCTTGTACGATATCAATTCATCAACGACTTCTTTGAAGTAATTATGGAAGACATTAAAACAAAAGAAAATAAATAAAATTAAAAAATGAAAGATGTTGTGCTTGGGAATTTTTGTAACAAATAAATCAAGAGCTACAATGTGTTTGGTTTAAAAAAAAAAAAAAATAGAACGAACTTTGTTTGGTTGATAATTCACTAAAAAAAAAAATTGAAAACCAACAGCCCCGAAGTAAAGAATAAGGTTTTTTTTTAAATTAAAAATAATAATTGAACCAAATGTATCCATAATTTGGTTTTGAAAAGACTCTGGTTGTTTCAAGTTATGGCATTGAAGATAGTCTGGATGTTAGTTTCTGTGTAACAGGGAGTACATAAATAACTTCAGAAATGTGCAATGGTAGATGAAATATAAGCCCCTACTGTACATGTCATACAACATATCCCCACCTCATCAGTTAATGATAAATGATAAAAAGAGTTGAAATGGTGTCCCAAGTGAAGTCAGGACCACAATTCTTGACAATATGCATAAAACTTCCAAAAGATTAATAATAAATCAGTGTAAAGAAAAACAATTACTGAACTAAAAATAACAGTTCAATATAAAGCGATCATTAAAGAAGTTTGAACTGACATGCAAACCAAAATGACATATTATAAAACACCCCAAGTACCATAGTGATTGAGGCCTACTAAAACATGAATAACCAATTGACATGTACAATCAACCAAGAGTGTTAAAACTGATAGACATGGACTAAACGATACTGCAGATTGAAAAGACTTTTAAAAAAAAAAAAAATCTTTCCAATAGAAATCAGAAGCTAACACCCGTCTGTTCATCCAACCAGTGAGAGCATCTGTATTGAATCAGAATGACATTCATAGACTTTCTTATGAAATTGAAAATGTAAGGAATATCTATAGCATAAACACTAGAACTAAAAAACAACTGATCTTTACTTATCTACAGTATGCCTACTGATGGTTTGGGGTGCTGGGGGAATATCCCTTCCTGGTATATCTCGAGCCTGGTTAGTGTTTCCACCAGCCATGCTAGGAGAGTGGCTATTCTGGTATTCCTTGTTTTCTCCTGGACCAGGCATTTCCCTGTTTTGGCAAGATATGCCTCCACTGTAATGTCCATTCAAGTATTGCAAATTTTTCACCTTATTAGGAACCCCTTCCATGTTGATGGTTTGGTGAGGTGGGGGAACATCCCTTCCTGGTATATCTCGAGCCTGGTTAGTGTTTCCATCAGCCTGGTATTCCCTGTTTGCCCCTGGACCAGGCATTTCCCTGTTTTGGGAAGACACGCCTCCACTATTGTGTCCATACAGATATTGGACATTTGTTGCATTATCGGGCACCCCTCCCATGTTGTTTGGTAGCACATCTATGATGTTGTATGGTGGCATTCCCTCCATATTATTATTGGGCGGCACTCCTCTCCAGTTGGGTTCTCCTACCATATTACTTGCCTGCATTCTGCCCGGATTGTAAGGAATAGCTCCACCATTATGTCCGCTCCAATACTGAAAATTTGGTGTGTTATTGGGCACCCCTCCCATGTTGCATGACTGATATCCCCACATATTGTTGGGCTGAACTCCTCCCCAACTGGGTGCTCCTGCCATATTATTTGGTTGCAGTCCACCCAGATTGTTAGGCATGCCTCCACCGTTATGTCCGTTCCAATACTGAAAACTTGGTGTGTTACTAGGCAATCCTCCCATGTTGTATGGCTGATTTCTCCACATATTGTTGGGCTGAACTCCTCCCCAGTTGGGTGCTCCTACCATATTATTTGCTTGCATTCCACTCAGATTGTTAGGCATGCCCCAACCGTTATGTCCATTCCAATTCTGGAAATTTGGTGTATTATTGTGCACCCCTCGCAAGTTGTTTGACTGCTCCCATGTGTTAGGCTGCACTCCTCCCCAGCTAGGTGCCCCTATCATATTATTCGCCTGCATTCCTCCCAGATTGCAATACATGCCTCCATTGTAATATTCATTCCAGTATTGGGAATATAGTGCATTATTGGGCATACCTCCCATGTTGTTTGGTGGCATTGCTCCCATGTTGTTTGGTGGCATTGTTCCCCAGTTGAGTGCTCCTTCCATATTATCCGGCTGTCTTGCTCCCACGTTGGGTGCCTCGTTTGTTCTATTTGCTTGCATTCCTCCCTTGTTGGGCCAACTTCCCGTTTTACCAGATGGCATTTCCATATCAAGTGCACGTTTTGCATGGGAGGGTGGTACTTCTGCCATATTGGGTCCAGGGTTCTGCATACTAGGATTAGCCATAGGAGTTTGAGAATCTTGATTTTGCTCATTTTGTATTTTTTCGGAGTGCCTTGATTTGTCAGGCTTATGAGTTATGGTGGTCATTCGATCATTGTGTCTCACCCGCTCATGGTACTTGGGGTCATACGGTACAACCATACCATTAATAAAAGGTTCCCCTGCCAATGCAAATCAAATCAAAAGATTACAAACAATAGTGCATGCTTCAACACTGGTAAAAGATAATTCTGGTTAAGAAAACCAGCAGGCTGACCAGCAGATCCACAACATACCAAATTATAGAGGGTAGAAAACAGATGGAAACTAAAAGGCAGTGGATGAGAAAATGGTGCATATCTGTTATAAAAAGTTCAATCACACATGAAGTAAATATACAGCTTTTCTTTTGGCTAGATGTAAACACCATGAAAGAGCACAATAAGGCACAACCATCATAGATGCAATGTTACTTTTTATTTCTTCTTTTCAAATATTTTATCTTTGCATGCATTCCTAGTGTATATAGCAAAAGATTCATCTGTGTTTCTCTTGTTTCTAAAGTAACCACTCCTTGCATTATTTTAAATAGGAAGTAGTTAGAAATCTAGGGTATATTTGGTTTGATTCTCCGAAGACCTTCTCTCTCCATTTGGATAACTACGAGGGAATAGAAAGAAGATGATAACATTAGTTATGAAAGGGAGAAAAAAATTATAATAATATATAAAATAAAAAAAAAATAAAAAAAAAAGAGGAGGAAGAGAGGACAGTATTAACCTCTTCTCATGATTGGATAATTAAGGAAAAGAAAGTGAAGAATAGTGAAGAGAAAGAAAAGAAAATGATTTGTTTTATTTTGTGAATAATAAGGGAAAGACATGAATTCACTTGTTCCTGAAAAGGGACAAAACGGATAATTACTAAATCTCCAATCATTTCCTACCAAATTCTCCCAATTTTGGAAGATAGCCAAAAACATTATTCCAAGGGTTACACTCTCTCTTTTCTCCCTCTCAATCCACTCCTTTCCCTCCTCATATTTAAAACAAACCCAAAATAAGCAATTCCTCCTCTTCTCCTTTCATTTCTCTCCACTTTCCAAAACACTGTCAACCAATTTTTTCTGAGGTTTTAGACTCAAAACTAAGCAAGCAACCCCCTAGTTGGGTTCAAATTTTCTGATGCCATGACATCACCAACACGAATTACTTACCTTCTGATGGTGAGATTTGTTCATGGAGCTTTGCCTGCGGTCTGTGGAGTTCTGACTGATGTTTAACATTATCCATCTGCCTTACTCAGTCTCCCTCTTAGCTGAAAGACCAGTTATGATGAACAATGCTAAATATACCACATCCAGAGCTGACCCTCAAGTTGAATTTCTTGCAAGAAATTAAATAAACCCGAATAGAATGTCGGTAGGTGGTAAGAAAAAATTGAATGGCTTGTGATTCAAATATTTCATTGAGCATACAGCCTCTAAAAAGTAAATTTTAGATTCTAGTGCTGGTGAGTTGAACCAATCAACCTTGATCTTGTGCTAGTAAGTGGGACACCTTGCCATTGCAGCTTAAATTTTAGCCCAGCCAATTTAAAATCTATTACTTTGATGATTAAGCATCTGTACTCCAAATTTTAAACTTAAAATCTTCAAATACTTTCAAAATATAGCACTTGAGACACTAATATATATATATATATATTCGACCAAGAGGAGAAACTACAATACAGCAAATGCAGATACAGACACAGAAGCCAACTAAAATACCAACTACAAGGCCTTTTGCCTATGCCCATATTAAACTGTGTTAATTTGAAAAGAAAAAGAGAGAGAGAAAACTGGAACATTTCTAAGTACAGTATATTGTACCCTAAATGTATATATGCCTCATCCACATTAATTAAACTTAAAGAACAATCTTTTGATGTAAATAGGGAAAAGATGCCAATGACTTGAATCAACTTCACTTCAGAAGCAGAGTTAAAATTTGATTGAAATTTTCTAGATTGGAGTCTTGCTATTGCACCAGGTTTTGACCTTAAAGAGGGTTCATTTAATTCAACAATACTTGAATCATTGCCTGGAATTCTACGACCAAAAGAATAGCTAGGTTCAGATATCATATATGATATATATGACAACAGAATGAGTCTACACAATGAAGTAACCCATGTTACAAACATAAAAAAAGCTTGGATGATGAAAATTAATCCACAAGAAATTGAGACATGTTGGCCCATTACTTGTAACTATATTTATTAAGCATGACCCCTTCCGAGTTCCAACTACGACTCAGAACTCAAACGTGTGGGTTTGCTCTCTTCTGTTTCCATTTTTATAGGTAAAATGTGTCATATATGATGCAGAATATCCGCTTCTGTGTATATAAGTAAGGTGCAATTATTAAGTTTGAGACCTAAAATACAGTAAATAACACATAACATGTATACATGGTAAGATATCATTTATATATATTTTTTTCACGAGTCCCTACCAAAATTAATCACAATGTTTTTTTGGTATTGACGACCTATGAGTAGAGCATGTTGAAAAACTGTGATGGGTGCATCATCAGTGACAACATGCGCATTGTAGGTAACCTGACAAGTATGTAAGCATATGACATTATACATGAATAGTCTTGGTTTGGTTCTCCAAATGTTAAATAATCATTTGAGCTAAGTTTCTCAAAAAATATACTACATAGTTAAAGTAAAAAGGGAAGAAAAATAATAAATAATAATAAATAAAAATAGTATTAACCTGGTGTAGAAACAAGCATGTAATGATGTAAAGATAACCCAATGAGATATGAGATCAACCAAAAAACATGAAAAGAAAAGAAAAATAATGAGTAGAGCCATTTGGAAGAAGGCAAAAAAAAAAAACTTTTGCTTTCAAAAGTTAGCTCGTCCCTATTACACAAATTTATCACCCAAAAATGTGTGTTTCTCAAGTTCATAAAATATTGATGAATAAAAATGCAAAATAAAATCATTCCAAACAACAAAGAAAAAAAAAAAGTAACGGGATGAGAAATTTTTTAAATTTATGGGACATCGAAATGCCTCCTAGTTCCATACCAAAATAATATTTGTTCTCAACATCAACGTAAGCATCAGGAAGCAACCATTGTACTCCCGGAAGTCCTGCACAATATTTGAACAACCCATGCTTAGAAATTGCAAGCTGAATAAACAAAAGCAGAAACCAAGCGTCAAGTACATGAAGCACCTCTGATCTTGTGTGCAAGTTCTTGGGATACAAGGGCTCCAAATGCATAATGGTATTTAGTTGAGACAGAATATATTTTCTTCTTTGCTTCTTCCTCGCTGCAAAACACAATGGCACAAACAACAACAAAAGTTATTAATTACTACAATCCATCAGCTGAACTGATAAGTCATTCATGCTCCATTGATTTCTAACATTATGTTCTCCACAAAAAATTTCATTTTCTGTAACTTATCTACAATCATTAAACGAAGCATATCCAACATAAATGACAGAAATCCAAAGTTTCCAGAACATGCGTAGCTTTCTTATTCTTATTTTCCTTCAGGGAAAAAAAAAAGGATTAAAACCATTAAATCAGATCCAAAATCCAAATTTCTTGTGCCTCCTAGCAATCGAAGATAAAAACAATATACGCACATACACACACAAAAATATATATGATCCAAAATTTTACTTCCTTTACATCTCTCATCAATCAAAAACAAGGGGGAAAAAATTATGAAAAAAATTGGAACATTAATCCAAACCTTCCAACAGCCATAGCTAGGGTTTTTATGTAACTATCTATGATCTCATCCCTGGTAATGTCGTCCTCCTTGGGTTTTTCCATCACAACATGCCAGTGCTTGAAATCGAGACCCTTAAGGATCTGCCCGGTTGGACTATTCGACGATTGAGGGTCTGAGTCCTTGAGACACAATGGCTTCTGAAAAGTCGAGCAACATCGGATTGCAGTCGCTGCCGGCGACAGTTGGTGTAAACTGGCGGAGATGGCGGCGAGAGGGCGTACACGGAGAAGAGATGAAGGAAAAAATGGCCGGTTAGAGAGAGAAAGAGAGGTGTAGGAGCGAGAGGGGACAGAAGAGAGGATTTGTTTGGTGGAGGGTAAAGAACGAGTGAAGTGACGAGTCGCCATGTTCTCTGCAAAAGATGGACAAGATTTGGGTTTTAGAGGGGTTTATGCAGAAACTTATACCGGGGAAATCACGTGATAGTGAAGACTCTTTTGGGTAAGTTGACTAAATGTACGTCTCATCAACGCCAAATTTTAAAAATATTACGGAGTACCAACAATTTGAAAATTTTAACAAAAATAAAATATTATTCTAATATTATAACATATAACATCATTTCTATGACTCTATAATTAAAGGGAGGTGCTATTCGACACAACTGTCTTTCTAAATTTTCTCATCTTATCTCTAATTTTTAGTTTACAGTATCAAAAATAAAATTTATGTCCAATAAATTGTCTCTTTTGACCTAGACCTAAAAAAAAAAAGTAACTATTGAAAAACAAAAAAAAAAAAAAACCTTAAAAAAGATTTTTATTGAAAATTATTATTTCTTTTGTCAAGATAAAAAACAAATACGAAAAAAGAGAATTAAAAAATATATATATTGAATATTTCTCTTTTGATAAGACCCCAAAAAAATAAATTATTTCTTTTGAATTTGTTTTGATTGCACAAATAAAAAATAAAAATGATCAGTTTTAAATAAATTATCTCTTTTGACTACCAAAAATAAAATGATCAATATGGAAATTATTTTTTTTGAGAGGACCTCCAAAAAGAACAAGGAAAGAAAGTATAGCACAGAGACAAAAAATAGTAAATGAACTAAAAAATAAATAAATAAAGTGGTATAAAGGGTAGTTATGGTATCATAAAATAAGGCATAGTGCATTAATGAATTCAAAGACTTTTTTGTCAATTAAAAAAAAAAAAAAAGAAGGTAAATGGAGTATAATTGAAGAAAAGTGGACACCTCCCTTAAATGAATATAAAAATACTTTATTATCTTGATTCCTAATTGAATTAGCGAAATTGTTTTTATTTTTAAATTAAATAATAATTTATAACTGCATGGATTTCTATAGCTCATGAAACTCTTTTTGTTTCAACTATTAATTTTAATATGATTATCACTAACAAGTCGGTTCATATTTGATCCATTGATAAAAATTGAATTAACCCGAATCTAATAAGAAACTTATGACCCGACCTTAAAATCTAAACATTTCATCCTTAACCTGTTGATAAATCTGGTATGATTTGAATTTAATAAAAAAATTGAAAAGTAAGAATTTTGGTATCGATGGGTCATTGACCCGTTGGTAAATCTCCGAGTTGATTATTATTTGGTCAATTCTATATTCAAAAGTGTTATATACTCAATTTTGATCTGTATTTGAAATTTTCTCTAAATATCTGAAATCGAAATCGATTCTTGAACTTCCACTGGTTGGTTTTTGTGTTGAGTGAGAAAATCGAAACTTAAACGAGCTATAAGTTTAAAAACAGTGTTTTAAAGTCATAACCAATGTTGTACTTGGGAATATTTAATTTTTATCCGATGAGTTGACGTATTTAATTTTTATCCGATGAGTTGAAGCATTTAATTTTTATCCAATGAGTTGAACTTGTGATCTATGTAAAATAAAATATAGAACCAAATTTGTTTGGTACGCATTGGAAACTGAATTAAAAAAAAAAAAAAAAAAAAAAACTAAGTTGGCCAAAAAATAAGAAATTTTAGTGTCTAATATATATCTCTTAATTTTTTTTTTTTTTTGAAAGGCAGTATGACTCGAATTTGAAAGTAAAAATAAAAAATAAATTTTAAATTCAAACACCATTCGTGATGACAAGTGCTATCAACCATTATATAATATCATACCCAAAAAAAAAAAATACATTTATTTAGTAAATTCTAATTATAATGTGTTATTAAAATAATTGGAGTATTAAAATATTTATGCAGAGTAAGTTAGTCTATAAAGGAGTACATGTGTAACTTGTGAGATGTGCAATGGCAGATGAAATCAAACGACATACAAGGACAAAGAGCTTTATAGGCGCAGGCCAGATGGATGTTCACACATATCCCCACCACATCAATGAATCACAAAGGGAGTTCAACATTTGTGCCAATGCATGTGAGATGTACCAAAATTTCTTTATTTTTTTCCCTACCAAAATTTCTATACAATTATTAACAATGCACTAGTGTCAGTACTACGAACAGAGCAAGCAAGTCACGTTCCATTCACTCCAAAATAATACGAGTAATTAAACAAGCCAGTCTGTGGAATAAATTAGTCTGTAGCTCCTTAATTAGTACAGTAGTATTGATAATGAGGTCTCTGTTAGTGGTGTGTTTGATTTGTTAAATTGGGGATTTTTTTTTTCTATCAGAGAAAATGGAAGATGATAGAGAGATGAAGATGGAGAGGAGGAGAGAGAAAGGAGCACCCACTTATTGTGTGACTGGAGCAACAGGTTACATAGGCTCATGCTTGGTCAAGTCTCTCTTACAAAGGGGCTACTCTGTTCACGCCACCATCCGCGATCCTGGTATGCTCTCATCTTTCTCTCTCTCTCTCTCTAAAGTTCAAAGCTTGATGTTTTTCTGCAATTTAATTAAGTCTCACATCTTCTAGTTTGTAACCAGTTTAGTTAATTTATTCATTCCATACAATTTTATAAAAATAAGAAGCAATCAATTTGTAGTTAGCGTTTCCTCTTCTTTCTTAAATATATATGCCAAGTGCAGGGGTTCTTAACTAGAGTACGTAATATAATTTTGTAATAAATACAAATAAAAGAGGAAGAAAAGCAGACAAACCAAAAGATTGATGATTAGAGTAGGGATGTTTACCTCTAGGATTGTATGTCATGATTCCCCTAGGTGTACTTGTCCTACCTAAGGGGTCAAATCTCTCTCGTTGCCATGCTCTGTCATGAAAGAGGCACATTAAATTTCTAATGCTGACATTAAATTCATTCATATAGGTAACAATAACAGGGGTTAAAGCAATTTTAAACGGAGCATTAATGATGATTGTAAGGGTTTTTGTTGTGTTCATCGTTCCTTTGGCTAGGACATTTTTTTGACTTTTCATCCGTCAATCCAAAATCATTATAGGTGTCCCATATGTCTATTATAAGTACATGAGAAGACCCTACATTTATGGAGGAGTCTCATAGTGACTTGTAATGATACTTGGGTTTTTGGGCTTTGAGGGTAGTCCTTGAGGTTTCCTGGTGTGATGGGGCTTCATTAGTCTTGAAGATAATGCCTTCAAGGTTTGGTGACCTGACATGTTGTCAAGATTTCTTTGGACTCAAGGGTAATGCTCTCAAGGTTTGGTGACCTGACATATTGTCAGAGTTTTTAGGACTCAAGGGTGGTACTCTCGAGGTTTGGTGACTTGACGGGTCATCAAGGTTTCTTTTGTCTGGAGGGTGATGTTCTTAATGTTTGGTGACTGACTTGTCGTCAAGTTTTCTTTTCTGGGCTTTGAGGGTATATTAGGTGCCCTGTCGTGCCCTTAGAGCATCTCCAATCCAATGTTATATTGGCTGCTATTTCTATACTATAGCTGGAGATAGTAAAAATGGGTTCTCCAATGTAATGCTATATGCGCTGCCAAATTTTAACTTTGCCAAAACTTATGCCAATTATAGCACAAGAAATAGCTACTGCTGTTTCAGAAAAAGAGAACGGCAGAGAGAGAGAAAGAGAGCCGCCGGGGGGGGGGGGGGGGAAGATATGGGTTTTGATTTTTGAACAATCTGAAATGATATGCTGATATGGGTTCATATATATATATAAGATCATAAAAAATTTCACCAAATAGGATTGCAAAACAAGAATTACAGACATAGTTGATTTAGAAAAAAAATTAAAACAAAACCCATACGTGCAAGTTAGCGTGATCTCCTTCCAACAACACTTCCAAGCACACGACACCGATCTGATCATAGCCATTGTCCCCAAATCAGGCACCGCTTGGTCCAAGGTCCTTGTCTTCGCCATCGATCATGAACCGCACTCTTTATGGTCCAAATGACAACCCTATGCTCACTGTCAATCCTCATGACCTCGTACCCTTCATGGAGTTGAATCTCTACTTTGACAAAACCAACCTCCCGAACCTTGAGGATAGAAGTGACCCGAGAGTTTTCTCAAAAATATACAGAAACCAACCTCGCGAACCTTGGCCTAATTATATGGGTTTTGAACTTCTGATTCTAATTGATTTTGTAGTTTGCAGTTGCACAGAGAAAGACACAGGGGGCAATTTCAGAGTTGAGAACGAGAATAGAGAAGGAGGCGATTGGGGAGCCTGAAATGATTTGCCCTAAAATTATATATATTTTTAATAATAATATAATCAAATATAAATAATATACATATATATATATATATATATATATATATATATATATATATTTCCGAAAAAGAAAAAAAAATTATATAATAATATAATCAAATATATAAATTTATACATATATATACATTTTTGGGTCCTTTTTTGATCAGATATTTTAGATTTTTGATTCTTTTTAATTAAGTTTAATTTTAGTTTCCTTCTAATGTTTGCAACTTGACTTGGAATGTGCCTAATATTAACATTATTGATGCAAATATGAATGGTGGGAATGGCAGTTGAAAAATAATAGTGGTTGTGTCAAAAAATAGCATTTTGCATATAATGCATCATTGGAGCAGAATTGTTAAAATGTAGCATTTTGACACTGTAACACTGTCAAAATATAGATTTGGCATCCGAATTTAGCATTTTACCATTGGAAATGCTCTTAGGGTTTCTTTGATAACTCGTTGAGTGGTTTTGGCCACGTCGGTTTTTCTTTGGTTTTTCAAACAGCCATGTGGTCATTAGGTTGGGTTGTTTTGGCCACAAAGGTGGTGTTTATTTGACTTTTCAAACAGCTATGTAGCTAGCACTGTTTGTGTTAGGCACCTACACTGACGAATTCTAAAAATTTCAGCCAAGTCTATGCATCTATTAACATCCTGGCGTGGTGGTGATCGGTTGAAATTGTTCAAAGCTGATTTGCACCAAGAAGGTAGCTTTGATGAGGCTGTAAAGGGCTGCAATGGAGTATTTCATGTTGCTGCTTCAATGGAGTTTGGAGTTTTAGTCAAAGACAACATTGGTAATGCATGTTTGTGACTATTTTTTCAAATGTTCTGAGCTATTCAAACTATCTTTTTCTCTTTTCTCTCTCCCATTTTCAGATTAATTCAAACTAACGTTTCAACTTGCAGAGAATTATGTTCAATCCAATATCATAGACCCTGCAGTCAAAGGAACCTTAAATCTTCTCAAAGGTTGCTTGAAAACAGAATCTGTTAAAAGGGTCATTTTCACATCTTCCATCAGTACTCTAACTGCTAAAGATGGCACTGGAAACTGGAAACCTGCAGTTGATGAATCTTGTAAGACTCCTATTGATCATGTCTGGAAAATGAAAGCCACTGGATGGGTAATGCTTCCTCTTCCTGTTGTTCATTGTTACCTATAACTAACATTGTTCAATTAATTAAAGTAGATACTATAACTTTTTAATTTTGTAGGTTTATGTACTTTCAAAGCTTCTAACAGAGGAAGCAGCCTTTCGATTTGCGAAAGAGAATGGAATTGATATTGTCTCTATCATAGCAACAACCGTTGCTGGCCCATTCTTCACTTCAGCAGTTCCATCAAGCATTCGAGTTCTCTTGTCGCCAATAACAGGTGATTATAGCAAATTTGCTGACTTGCTGATAAATATATATATATATATAAATATATTTATATTTATTTATTTGTTACATCACACAAATAAAAATGTGGCTGTATAGCATGTCATTCAATGAATATGCATGCATCTTTCAATTCTTTTGCAAGCCAGTATCCATGCCTGAAATACATCTTGATATTCTGCAACCCATAAATGTAAATTACAAACCCGTTCACTTCGCATACATCCAGAGATACAGTTCAAAAGATTTTCTTTCAATTCATCTGAAATTTGTTCAACTCCCACAAATAAAGTTAGGTTAATGTATGTATATTTAAACAAGTGGAGATCATTTTGTACTATGCTGACTTCACTGCTTCAGGTGATCCTGAATTCTTTCCAATAGTATCTGCTGTGAATTCAAGAATGGGGTCAATTGCTATAGTTCACATCGAAGATATATGCAGTGCCCACATATTCCTTATGGAGCATGCTAGAGCAGAAGGTCAGTACATATGTTGTGCCCATAGTTGTCTAATGTCTGAATTGGTTGATCGCCTTGCAAAAGAGTACCCCTCTTCTAATACACAAAGGTAATTCTTTCTTGCGAGTTCCGAAAGTTGCAGATTGCTTGTAATTATTTCAGATGGTGAATTTTCTTTACGTTTTCTAGGAATTTGGAAGAAGAACAAGGTTCAGTTCCCTCCAAGATTTCTTCAGAGAAGTTAGGAGCTCTGGGCTTTACTTACAAGTATTGCTTAGATGACATAGTACATCATAGTGTTAGGTGTTGTATAGATTATGGTTTTTTACCTCTCACTGGAAAGTAGTGGATGCTGTTAAACTAAATGAGGGAACAGAATTAATAGACACAGTTCTTAGCAAAACAATAATGAAATCAATTTTAAAAGATGATTTTTGTATTATTGTCTGCAAAAATAAATGTGAGACAGAGGTTCACAAGATTCAGATTATTGCTAATATTTGGTTATTAGTTTTTTTTTTAATCACGGCGAACATGTATCATTCGTAATGCACTGACTTTAAGGTTTAATACTGGAACATGTTGAAGTGGCTGTAACTAATTGAATGTTTAGAGAATGACCAGTGACTGTAACTAATTGAATGTAAATAATCAATTTTAAATGCTCAATAAAAAGAGGGTTTGTGCTAAACCATTCAGGTGAGTTGATTTGTGCTGGAAATTTAATTCTACAGTTGAGGCACTAATAAATGTGGAAGCCCTGTTAGAATAACAAAATTTAGCCAAAAAAAAAAAATGAAATGGTTTTAGAAATCACCAATACCAACGACTCAGATGTTATAATTTGTTTGTGAAGCTTGTAGCAGAGTTGCCTACTTAACAAAGTAAGATCTAGGAGCGTTCTATTCTAGCCTTCTGGGGTCAGACACACAAATCCTATTTTCACAACTTGCTCTAGCTAGAACCATCCTCTTGGAGTTCTATTCTAGCCTTCCGGTGCAGAAATACCTCTTAATTTCATATCACTATAAACCCAAATTCTTAATATGTCATCTTTATAAAGTTGTGAGATATGGTTCATTGACTGTTGAATGTTTCCAAGATGCTGAAATAACCAGAGGCAGTTTTCTGGCATCTAAAATATATAACTCAACTAACTGGGAAGATTTAGGGTACAACATTAATGCCAGAGTTGGACCACATTGACAAAGATGGAGACCAAGCCATGATTATGATGATGATGTTAGAAATTTTGTGAGAAATTTGTGAAAACTTTGTAAAAACTCTCACTATCCCAATGGTTTGGGAGATTTGGAATATAACAAGATGAGATATATTCAGCTCTTATGAAAAATTACTTACTCTACAGATACATATATAAACCTGTTTGATCCATAAGTAAGTAGCACCTATTAAGCCAAATGCCTGGTCTCATTGCCATATGACACCCTTATCCTAGTCTCCAATAAATTTTTTGTATTAATTGCACTGCACTGGGTTAGTCTAAGAATAGACCATGCCATACTAGTCAACTGAGCAATTCTGTTTCTCTACAAGTTGCTAAAAGATTTAATAGATTCTTTTATGCAGCTAATTTTTCCCTTTTTCTCCCAATACTGTCATCTCTCTCCAAATGGTTTTAGCATAGTAATTTCAAAAGAGCAGTTCTTAATGGTACCTTATCAGTCAGCAGGATTGACAATTTGACATAATTTGAGCTCAGAAAGGAGCAGCCCACCAGATGAATAGTCTAAATCAACAGTCAGTGCCAATTGCAATAAATTACCTTCTTTTGTGTTCAATGCCCCAAACTACTCCCATTCTAACATTTAAGACTAACAACTGTATTCTACTCAATTCTTTGTATTCAAACAAGTTACGAGGGCTAGATACACTCAAATTGGTTTTCATGTATCTATACAGACATTTCAGTAGAGAAATGAATAACCATGTCCGGGTAGGAGAGTATATTCGGTGTGGCCCATGCACCGGATTATCAAATCCTTCTGTTTTTGCACGTGTTGTGCACAAACATCTCTAATGTGTCTAGTGCACCAGATACACTGAATACCTACTCCCACCTAGATGCTAAAGGACAAGTAGAAGTTACCATCTACGAAATCCTAGGGAGAGATGGAAATCCTAACCTTGTCTTAAATGACTACTGCACCACATTACAATTAAAGAATAGAACAGCATTTACAGAAGAAAATTTAATTAAGGATAAGTGTTAAAAAAAATTAAAAATAAAAAAAGAGGCCTAGACAGGGAGCACATGACATACGTAATCTTTCTTGGATTTTGTCTACTAGTTTTGGATCAATCTTTTTCTAAAACATAGCCATTCAACTAGGACCACATATCCTTTCACACTGAATGCTGGTATTAATATATATTTTGTGTGCAATCAATACATCCCAACAAATACAAATATACTTAGCAAAGTCATTATATCATAACTACCGTGATCCTCCCGTCTTCAAATCACATGGAACATTGGAACCTAAGCATATAGTAAGTAAGCATAGTAAGTAAATATGCTGTGTTGCACAAGGATCACCTCTAATTGTACAGTAGTTTATTTTTTTTATTTTTGTAAAAAAAAGTACATTCCAATAATTTTCTACTGTGCATTCCAAACATGAGTGACGTAGTCATTTCTGGACCACTCATTTTAAAATGAAATAAATGACACTATTTCACTATAGGCGATTTTTTACCCTGTGCTGTCTTGCTTGTTAACGTGTGAAATTTTGGGTGGTTGCTTGTTCAAGACCTTGAAGATTTCTAAGTATATACTTTACCCATGGCAAAATTATTATTACTTGCAACCCTAACAGACAAAGTTGAGGTGCAAGGTCAAAATCAAGGTTAGATGCGTGTTGACCATGACGGAAAACACAATCTGTTAAAACTATTCTGTAATTATTTCATCAAATTTTGACAACCAAACTACTATTTACTGTTTACAAATTAGTCAAAACATTAAGATTAAAATTCGAATAGTTAATTAAGTTTGTGGTTTTATTTACCAATATTGAGTCAATCAGAGCAAATGTACTCAAAAAAAAAATTTCAACTAGCTTCAACGATCTTTAGTAAAGATAGTGTATAACTTCGAACACGTTTAAGAGAACAAATAGATTCACCAGTAAAAACCTAAAAAAAAAAAAATGTACAGATTCTTGAAAAATATTTGCAGCAACAGCACAAGCCAGGAATGAGGAAAAAATACAATACCAAGGCATATGGAAATGTTTTGGAGAGGCAGATACAGTAGGCATGGGGAAGCCCAAATATATAGATCTACAAGCAAGTGCTAGAAGAATCAAGCTTCTATCAAAAGGGAGAAAAAAGTACATCTACCATAAACAAAAATGATTCACATAACCTTCATAAGAAATTGTTCTGTTCAGGGTTTGCATATTACCACAAAGCAAGGAAGGAGAGCTCTGGGATTGAGCAAATAGAGCTCCTCAATATTTGAATAAAGACCAATCTTCCCAGCCAATGAATCGAATCCCGACTGACCTGCCATTTCTTGTATGTTCTCCAGTGGCCGGTGAACCCTTCCCGCGATAACTCTGCAGACTATTAAAGCCTTCCTCAGAGATGGATCGTCTTCAAGGATTTCTATAGATTCAAAAGCTCTCCCACTTGTGGAAGTTGTGAAAACACCGATTCCCCCCTTAAGTTCCTTCTTAGTGGAGAACCCACCTCTTATGATTCGACAAACACAGCATTTATCAGATATACAGAGACTGGATGATCCATTCATGCCAAGAGAGCATGCCAAAGTTGTGCCATAAAACCTCAAAAGTTCATTCCCATCAGCAAGACAACGAGGGTGTTTCTTTTGTAGTTTGCTGGCTTTGATCTTCACCATTTCTCTGTATTCTTCAAACCGGGCGAGAGTTTTTTGCATGTTGTGAACTTTCAGAATCCTCTCAATTCGACCACAATGGTTTTCAGACTTCAGCAAGCTTGTCCGGCAAATTATTTCAACAATTTTCTTAGATGAGTCCCCTTCCACCAGCTCAGTAACTGTGATAGAACATATAGTAAAGATGCTACCGAGATGGTCCAGATTTAAATGAATAATAACACAGTTGAGCAAACCATAATTTGAGACTGGTGAAGCATAAATTCAAGAAATGACTGCAAGAACCCAATATGTATATTTTGGCAGATAATGAGACACCTCACAATGAGGAAGTTGAAAGTAGAAATTCTACCGAAAATGGGATTCAATGTCTACTAAATCCAAAAATTATTGCAAAATCCGGTAAAAGTGCTGGAAAATAATTCTATATAAGAAAAAATATCTACAGAAAATTGATGTCTTGTACATCCAAAACTATTGCAAAATCTGAGGAGAATACTAATCAGGAAAAGGGTTCAAATTAACTGGAGATGTAGAAGAAAAATCAGTTCAGTGGGAGAGAAAAAAAAAAAAATTGTTAGATATCTTCAACTCCTTGTTCTGAAAAAATATCAGCTTCTCAAGAAACCACTTTATTTTGACCAAAAAGTAAAAGTATTTTCAGGATATACTTTAATAATCCTTGGTGAATCTTGATTAAAGGTGTCCCTAAGAAATAGAAGAAAAAGGAACAATGGATGCAAATCAAGCACAGGGAGTTTGCTTTAAGGCGACATAAAATGGTTTGGGGGACCCTTAAATTGGGAAACACAAATACCATAATGAAGAAAGTAGACATAAATAAAGATAAGGACCAAATGGAAATCATGATGAGGGTTTCTTACCAGCATGTTTACAAAGATGATGTGCTTCAAGAGCTTCCCACTTGCCAAACTGTTCTCCACATTTGTGGCATTGCAATGTAGAAGACCCATTAGTATCTCTCTCAAGACAAGCCCTAGGGTTTGAAGGATTACCATTAGCACCACCACCACCACCGAAAATACCAGTACCCCCAAATACAGATCCTTCCCTATCTGACAATAGAGCACCATTCTTTCTTGAAGGAGTTGTGGAGGCTCTCATTGAAGTGTTAAAATAGTGCATTGAAGGGTGCCCTCCAGGGCCTGGGGTACCAGGCTTTAAAGTACCCACAAATGTTGAGTCACCACCAAACCCACCAGCCCCACCACCACCACCAGGACCACCACCACCACCACCACCACCACCACCAATCCCTTCTTGGAAACCACCAAAACCAGTGATTTTGAGCTCACATGTTGAATTGCTCAGAATCACTTCATGGGTTATTGGGTTTAGGAATTCGCTGCTCCCTATAGATCTTGGACTACAAGTTGGAGGCTTCTCCATGTGTCTCTTGCTTCCATGAATGACATCTTTGAGATTGGCTATGGACCTTGAACAGCCTGACCTGCCTGCTTTTCTTGTCAAGATTGTGCTCAAGTGTTTCCTGGCCGTTGGATCATGAACATCAGATGGCTCTGATTTGCAGTGTAAAGATTTCTTCAAAGAAAACCAAACTGTTGGCATATTTTCCCTTCTCTCAGTCACCACAGGCTTCAGAGCACCTCTTTTCTCCTGCTCAAAGCATATTCATTTCCATTCCCATTGTGGGCATAAAGGCATCTAAACATCAAAAACAAACACTATCTTCCAACTATGTATTTTCCTTCTCATTCTCAGAACCAATGGGTCATATACAATTTGAAGACAAAACCAAATTAAAATTTCTCGAGAAACACCCAGAAAAGAGCTATACTTTTCAAAGACGAAATCATTCTATGCAATGCATTTTAAAAGCCATCCAACCACCAACACTTAAAGCACTGCAGATTTTTCCTAAAATGGTTGTCATGAAATGGACGGCCATGTTCATCTATGAAATGCAACATGGACACTTGATAAGATAAGAAAAGAGACAATTAAAAATGAAAAGATTCACCGTATGGTTGAAATCATACCTGTCCAAAATAAAATGATAAAAACAAAATAGATTAGATAGTCTAACCATATACAACTAAAAAAATGAATATAAAATTTTGAATAAAATGATAATGTGTGGTTTAACTGAATTTATGATCTTACTGGTTAATGGAACCTGTGGATGCGAGAAACATTGTTTGAACAAAATAAAATGGTTGAGAAATGAAGAGTGAGAAAGGAATGGACTTGAAGGAAGAAACAAAGGGAGCCCATTTAAAAAATGGAAGAACTCAGAAATTCAAGAAAATGAGAATCTTAGGGTTCTCGGGTAACATGAAAATTGACAAGGAACCTGATAAAAACCTTGTTCAGTGTCATTAATAAATTGCAGAGGTGAATTTAATAGTAAACTAAGGTACACATTTAAAACTCGAAAACAGACAGTGAATTTAATTTGATTGACACCAGACACCTATGAGTCACCTCATTTGAATTGAATGTTCCCCGAAAAAAAAAAAAACAAAAAAAAAAACCGTCTCTTTCCATGGAACCTATTTAAATTGATGATACAACACTTACGCAATAATTTTACCTTCAAAATATTACACTTTTGTATTAATTTTGCGTTCTTGATGTAATCCTGGACAAAAATTTGAACAGGAGAGGGGATCTGTTGTGCACTCTCTGAGGCAACTGCAGACTGCAGCTGAACAATTGTCGGATGGTATTGTTACCAATAACTAACCTTTGCTGTATTAAATTTTTTTGACAATTCTATTTAATTAAATTGATGAAAAAAAAATGCCTCGAGTTTTAATTCTATTGTCAATTACTGTATTTTATGAGATGAGCATCACGAGCACAAACCAGCAAAACCATAATTGAATGATGTTATGCATACGCAGAAGTTTCTTGCTATCATATACAGCAGACACTTTTAATGTGTAAGACACATTTTTTAATAACATCTTAAGTCTCGAGATGTTAGTATGTAAAGCATACAAATTTACATGATGGCGTAGCAGGTGGTGACAGATAGTATCAGATTCAATTTTTAATTAGAAATGGAGTGCGCGCACAAGTTCATACAGATTAAGCCAGTGAGGATGAATCTCAAAAGAATAATTGTCACATCTCACAAACGTGAGAGAGAAGTTTAAAGTTCATAGGTATTTTCATACATAGATATCCCTTGGCCATGTAAATACAAAATTATGAACATTAAAAGAAGAGTATACAAAGCCGACAATATTTACATGAATGGTAACATTTTCATAAATTAAGCATGGGATGGAATTAAGGTAAGTAAATGTAAAATGGATTTAGAAAAAATAATGTCACAGTATGGTCGTAAGAAGTTTGGCCATATAATGCGAGTGTGGACACCCAAACCACTGCATCTAGCTCAGTAAAACAGAGTTTGAAAATTTGAATTAAGTATAAATACTGTTCACACGTGAGTCTGTCATTAAATGGAAGTCGTAATTGGTGGTATTGAAAATTTTAAATTTCAAATACCTCATATGCACCAGTAAAGACACAACATAATATACCCATTGCAAATTTACAATAGTAAATACTACTGTAACAACTATGTAATAGGACCACTGGATAGTTAATATACCGCAAATGAAATAGGACACCAATGCGGACAAGAAAGCCAGTAAGTTGTTTAGCATAGAATGCAGACAGACACTTGGTGCCTGAAAATGATAGACGAATGGATTTGACGAGTTTATATGAGAAAACAACAGATAAACTATATGCCACACACACATTATATATTATATCCCTCTGTTTTAATTTTATGTGATTTGCCTCTCCAGAAAAATAAAAAATGAAAAAACTGAAAACTACTTCTACAAAATTGAGCCACGCACTCAAATCTCAAACGTTTTATTTCATTAAGCCTTGTCCTGTCCTAAATCACACATAGCTGGAGCAGGCGCGGGAGGAGAATAAATTCAAGAGTAGGAGTTCAAAAGTCACAAAATCTAAGTTATACAAAGTGAGAATGAGAACGAGAGCACACTTATAGTGTAAGAGCGATATCTGTTAAAAAAAATTGTGTGACTTAGGTCCTGTCACTTTTTTTTTTTTCCAATAAAAATGCACCGATACACAGGATGCATAGATCAAATGAAAGATAAACTACTCAATAACAGATAATAAAACCAGCATTGATAACAATATTATGGTGACAATTGCAAAGGGAACAACATGATACAAGGTTGGCATAATTATTATCAGGTGCAACAAACAGCAATTATAAACAAAAATTATGAGTGACCTATCTTACTTCATGTCATTCAATGGACATTGAAAATGATTAAATGAGATTTGGCCAAGGTAAGTAGAGCTTTACAGTGACATTAAACCTTTTACATATGACTGAATTTTGGACTAACAATTGGAGCATATCAATTTTTATAAGTAGAAAAAAATGAATTTTATTGGTCATCTTGGTTTATATAAACACACACATTTCCTTTCTTTACTGTATCTTGTTTTACTATGTGATGACCCGAATTTTAGGATTTTAATTTAATTTATTTTACGATTTTTAGTGAACTTAATTGGAGATTTAAGTTTTTTAATCTTATTGCATATTTTATATATGTTATTTCTGATAGGAATTGCCTTTAAATTGGGTGTTTATGACTTGGTTTGTATGCGGAAGCAAAAGGAAAAATTCGAGTGATACACACAGAGAGAGAGAGAGAGAGAGAAGTCAGACAGAGAGTTTTGAGATAAAACAGAGCAGCCGAGAGTTGCAGAGGAGGTTGGAGCTTGAGGTTTTTGATGATCCAGTGAAGAGAATTCTTTTTCAGTGTAGGGTTCTCTATACCTTGAATGGCATGGGGTGGTTTTGATTAAATGTTTTGATTAAATGCATATTTATTTTGTTTACACACTCACATGAATATATATGTTTTGTGAAGCTGTTTTGTTAAACCTCCATGAAATTCTTGTTATGGTTTTTCCTATTGGGACTGTTTATCTCACCACCCTCCAGTTTCAGGTACCGAAGATGGACGGGGATCGTAGATACGGGTTTAGGATGAAGAGTCGGCGTTGCGAGTTTTGTTTTTATTATTTGGAGAATTTTTTTGTATATTTGAGGAACTTGACTTTGTATAAAAAGAGGCCATTTTTTTTAGATCCTGGGTATATTTTGATGTATTTGGACTTGTATAAATCGAGGATTTTATTAGAATTGTCGGGGCGTGACATACTACTTGTGTCTTAATTTACTAAAATTTGAAATTTTATGAAGCATGTAACGACCTGAACTTATAACATTATACTAATTAAACTAAAGTGTCACAAGGTAGTTAATATTACATTTATAAAATACTCGAGTCTAATACAAAATATAACAAAATAGAGTGGGTCTTCAAGCTCATCTAAACCTGTGGTGAACCGTCATCCGCCACCTCTTTTCCATATCCTGAAAAATGTTAAAAATAAGGGGGTGAGCATAATGTCACGAGCTTAGAGTTTCAGCACCACTCTAGCTGCTCCCGTGCAGCACCAAGACTTTGCTTTCACTCTCGCAAGTACTTGGTCAGCCTAACTCCCGTGCACACCTTAGCCAACACACTCCCCTCGTGCGCTTACTAGTGTTGTAGTTGCCCTCGCCCTCTCCTTACTTGGCTTGCACACTCATACACACTAAGGCACTTAAGTTGGCAAGGAAAGAACACTTCTATTACTTCAAAGAATGCTTTGTACAAGGCTAACACTCAAGCTCTCTACAAGGCTCTCAAGACTCACTCTAGGACTTGTTGGTTGCAAAATGAAGTCCTACTCCTATTTATAGGCATCCCCATCCCTAATGGATGGCTAGGATGCATTCTAACTAACGGTGGAGATTGATTCTCTAGAATCTTCTTCCACCTTCTACACATCTCCATACATATCTACAACATTCTAGAACCCTCCATACTACTCCACACAATTATGGAGAATTCTAGAACCTTCCACACACTTCTAGAATATACTACACATATCTAGAATCTTCCACACAACTCTAGACTACTCCGAAAGACTCTAGAAACTCCACTTGCCATGCAGTTGCCATGCAGTTGCCATACAGCGTCCTCCTCAGCGTCTGCGTGTCCCCTGCGTGGCACAACCTCCATAGGCGGGGCGTGACAATAAGCTCAGTAGGAAGTGTCTATAACACACTTCTTATGTACCCGTGAATCCATACAATGAATAGATAAAAAGTGAACGGGATCATGCCATCGAAAAACACACATTCTCAACCATAATAATAAGTATATAATAATTATCAACCAATCACAAATTTACCACGATGTCATGAAGTGCAATGTTATGCAAATGTCACTCCCCATTTCCGAAACAATTCCGTTTCAACAACCAAACCGTTAGCGTAGTCCGACCCAAGGCACCTCCATGACGTCACAAAAGGAAGGTTGGTTAACTATTCACGACCACAAAGCACCTCCAAAGCGTCGCATCCGACCTAGTTAATTCAACTACATTCCCTTTTAAACTACACCAACATCACGGACCACTAGGCGCCTCCTAGGCGTCCGGTTTTTCGCAACACTTTTAGAAAATATTTTCTCCAAAACAATTTTATTTGTTCTAACAAATATTTTTCCTCCTTTCTCTTTTCCAATGGATCCATGAATGCTTTATGCTTCAAATCATCAATTTAACTATATGATTTTACACATTTCCATTTACATCATCATCACAATTTGATGAAAATTTCTAAACATTCATTTCTTTTATTTATTTATAACCATAGCACCCAAATTTTTTTTTTTCAAGACAATAAATAAATAAATAATCATGGAACATACAACACATCAAACACTAAGCATGCTCATTTACCGTAATAAAAATAGACATGTATATGAACTCAAATAACACATGGAACACAATTATCTTTTTAATTACACATAACTAAGACAACAACAAGCTAAGTAATTAAAATTTAGCATGCTTAGGATCAAATTTAAGGGGAAAAATTCACCAAAGGCCAAGAAATTGTAGATTAGAACACCCCTACCTCAAATTGATGAAAACCCCCAATTTGAGCCCAAAAACCCTAGAATTTCGAACTCCTTGGAGTGCACCAAATGATGATTGGCTCCTATCAAATTGACGGCCTCAACAAGCTCAACAACTTTGCTTCACAATGTTCTACCAAATTTCAAAGGGATAGAGCTAGATCAAGCTTTAAATGGTGAAAACAAAAATAAAACAAATATTCCAGAGAGAGAGCATGGAACTGCCGAGAGAGAGAACCAAAATGCGTATCTGTAATGGCCTTATGGCCTTTTTGATGTTTTTAATATAGTGGTGGGGCCCACTTATTTTATTTCTTTTTCTTTTAACATTAATTATATATATATACATATATATCACAACATTACATTCTCCCCAATTTTAAAAGATTTCGTCCCCGAAATCAGGCTATACCTGAAGGAGAAAACAACTCTGGATACTTGGAGCGAATCTCCTGTTCGAGCTCCCAAGTAGCCTCCTCAACTCCATAATGCTTCCAAAGAACCTTTACCAACGATATCGTCTTTTTCCTCAACACTTTCTGTTGTGTGTCAAGAATCTGAATTGGTCCCTCCTCGTAGGAAACATCCTCATCAATGTTCACATCAACCCAACTCAAAATATGAGACGGATCTGGTTCATACTTCCGTAGCATTGATACATGGAAAACATTGTGGACCCTGTTCATCTGCGGTGGCAATGCTAATCTGTAGGCAACCTCTCCTACACGGTCCAAGATCTCAAAAGGTCCAATGAATCGTGGCGACAACTTGTCACTCTTTCCAAACCTCATCAACCCCTTCTTTGGAGAAACCCAAAAAAAAACGTGGTCTCCCACCTCAAAGGATAGCGGTCGTCTCCGCCTATCTGCATAACTTTTCTGTTGGCTCTGAGCTGTAAGCAATCTCTGTCTAATCAGCTTAATCTTCTCGGTAGTCTCGAGTATAATGTCGGGTCCTAAGGCGGCTGTCTCGCCCACCTCAGTCCAACAGACAGGAGACCTACAAGGTCTACCATACAACGCCTCAAATGGAGCCATCTGAATACTCGCCTGATAACTGTTGTTGTAAGCAAACTCAATAAGTGGAAGGTGATCCTCCCAACTACAACCCAAGTCAAGTACACAGGCTCGAAGCATATCCTCTAAGATCTGGATGGCACGCTCCGATTGGCCATCCGTCTGTGGATGGAATGCCGTACTAAGGTGCAACGCTGAGCCAAACGTTGCTTGAAGTCCTTCCCAGAACTTCGAGGTGAACTTAGCATCCTTGTCCGACACAATAGCCACTGGAACTCCGTGCAATCTCACAATCTCTTTCACATAAAGTATATCGAGTGCCTCTGCGTCATCTGTTGCCTTAATAGGAAAGAAATGAGCCGTCTTAGTCAATCTATCGATAATGACCCATACGGCTTCCTTTCCCCTCCGTGACCTAGGAAGACCCGTCACAAAATCCATTGCAATCTCCTCCCATTTCCACTGCGCTACCGGCAATGGCTGCAATAAATCAGCTGGTCTCTGGTGTTCGGCCTTCACCTGCTAACAAGTAAGGCACTTAACTACAAACTGTGCAACATCCTTCTTCATTCCATTCCACCAATACTGACGTCTCAGATTGTGATACATTTTGGTACCACCCGGATGAACTGCAAAGTGGGAAGTATGAAACTCCCGTAAGACGTCCTCACGACAAACTGTAGGAACAACCAACAAACTCTTAAACCGTAGACCTCCATCTGCATGTAAGGTCCAATCCTTCACGGTCTCGCCACTGCAGATCAGAGTGTAAATGTCATCCAAATCTGAATCATGTCTCTGTGACTCAATCACCCGTCTAACAAGAGTGGGTTGAGTCATGAGACTAAACAATAATGCTGACTCACTGCCATCATCATCATCATCAAAGCAATACAATCCCATTTCAGCCAAATCTTCCAGCATCTTCCATTTCCGAATGGCTAAACTAGCCAAAGTCCCACGAGATTTCTGGCTTAAAGCATCAACTACCACATTTGCCTTGCCAGAATGATACTGCAAATTAAAGTTATAGTCTTCTAAGAATTCAACCCATCGCCTCTGTCTGTTGTTCAAGTCCTTTTGGGAGAAAAGGTACTTGAGACTCTTGTGGTCCGAGAACACCTCAAATCTCTCACCATACAAATAGTGTCTCAAACACTTCAAAGCAAATACAACTGCCGCTAACTCTAAGTCATGAGTAGGGTAGTTAAGCTCGTGAGTCTTCAATTGTCGAGACCCATAAGCCACTGCTCTATCATCTTGCATCAGTACACAACCCAAACCATCACGTGAGGCGTCACAATAGATCACATAACCCAAGCCACGCTCAGGTATCACTAACATTGGAGCCATAGTCAACCTTGTTTTTAACTCTTGAAATGATGACTCACAGGCCTCATTCTATGCAAATTTAATCCCTTTTCGGGTCAATCTGGTCATAGGAGCTGCCAAACGGGAAAAATCCTTCACAAATCTCCAATAATAACCCGCTAGGCCAAGGAAACTCCGGATCTCAAAGACATTCTATGGTTGCTCTCAATTCAAAACTGCCTCTATCTTTGAAGGATCAACTGAAACCCCACATTCCGAGACAACATGTCCCAAAATTTTCACCTCTTGTAGCCAAAACTCACAATTTTCATACTTGGCATACAAACGGTGCTCCCGTAGAATCTGCAACACTATACTCAAATGAACCTCGTGCTCCTCCCGAGTCCGTGAATATACAAGAATATCATCCACGAAAACTACCACAAACTGATCCAAGTAATCGTGGAAGACACGGTTCATTAGATCCATGAATGCCGCTGGTGCATTAGTTAAACTAAAAGGCATAACAAGAAACTCATAGTATCCATACCGCGTACGGAAAGCAGTCTTTGGAATATCATCTTCTCTAACCCGCAACTGATAATAACCTGACCTCAAGTCAATCTTCGAAAAATAACTGGCTCCCCTCAATTGATCAAATAAATCATATATCCTTGGCAAATGATATTTGTTCTTGATAGTGGCATGATTCAACTTTCGGTAATCAATGCACAACCTCAAAGAACCATCTTTCTTTTTAGCGAACAAGACCGGTGCACCCCACGGTGACACACTCGGCTGGATAAAGCCTTTCGTCCTCAAATCATCAAATTGCTTCTTCAATTCTTCTAATTCAATCGGTACCATACGATACTGTGCCATAGAGATTGGCGCGGTACCAGGCATCAAATCAATAGCATATTCCACCTCTCGGTGTAGAGGCAACTCAGTCAAGTCCTCCGGAAACATATCTAGAAAATCACGCACAACCGCTGGATAATCAACCTCATAAAACTCAACGTCATCATTGGCGAAAAGACTAACCAAGAAGAATGTCTGCCGATCCCGACCCCTAACACCATAAAATGAATGAGTGAGAGGATCGCACCGATCTCCCACAAAACAGAAACAATCCTCATCCGGGGTACACACTGAAATTCTGCTCCTGAAACAATCAATGACAGCTCTGAAGGATGATAACCAGTTCAACTCAAGAATGACGTCAAATCCCGTCATCTCGAGAATGATGAGATCGAACTTAAGAACACGTCCGGCAATTGTGATGGAACAACTCCTACAAACTCTACTAAGAGCAACTGAACCCCCGATAGGCGTGTCAACACAAAGCGGTCTGTCTAATTGACTGACTTCCAAACCCAATGCCCGTGCAAATGATGAAGCAATGAATGAATAAGAAGCACCGGAATCAAACAATACACGAGCCCAAGAATGGGACACAAGAAACATACCGCTTACAACTGAAGGACTGGATGGTGACTCGGCTGGAGTGAGTGCAAACACGCGACCCTGGGTCCTTTGCCCCTGAGAACTGCCTGCCTGATAGCCAGACTGCTGAGTGGGTGCACTCGAAGAAGCTCCCCTACCAGGTCGAGAACTCTGGGTTGACATAGCTGGCTGAGACGGCTGAGGTGGTAGTGGTGGTCGAAACCCTGACTGAACTAGTGTGGCAGACTGCATCTGTCTCTGCTGTGAACCTCCACCTCTGCCCAAACCACTGCCCCGCTGTGGACAATCTTTCACCCTATGGCCCTGCTGGCCACACCCGAAACATCCACCAGACGCCACCTAAATCTAAGTACACTGGGACTTGTGATGCCCTGGCTGCCCATACTTGAAACAAATTATCTGAGCTACCTGTGTCTGAGTGCATTGGGACTTGTAATGTCCCAGCTGTCCGCATCTAAAACAAGTAACATTCGGTGTAGAAGACCCTATGGACACTGAAGCTGTGGGGGTGGATCTGACTGGCTGCTGTCCTCTGAACCCTGACTGCTCATGCTTCTGCTTCTTACTTGATTGACCCTCGGAGAAAGCACTCATACCCCAGTTGTGCTTGTAGGATTCCCTAAGAGCCTTACTGTCCCTGCTTTCAGCCTCAACTACTAAGGCATTTCGCACTGCTTTTGCATACTCTGTCAGTTCTGAAGCAACTACAATTGGCCTGATTGTGAGATTAAGACCATCAACAAATTTCTCTAACTTTCCTTCCTCATCATTAGCAATCCCCGGTGCAAACCTCAAAAGCGATGTAAACTTATTCTCATACTCTGTAACTGTCATGATTTCTTGCTTCAACCCATCAAACTCTTTCTTTAGTTCCCTCCGCTTAGGCGCCGGAAAGTACTTCTCATAATACAACTTCTTAAATGTAATATATATCATAGTATCCAGATTATGGGTGTGAGAAACGGTCTTCCACTAAATCTCAGCATCGCCCACAAAATTGTAAGTAGCCAATGTAATCTTCAACTTGTCTGTTGCCAAATTCATGGCATTAATATGCTTCTCCACCCTATCCATGAAACTATCCGCAACAAGCGGATCTAGACCGCCCTCAAACAAAGTTGGCATCAATTTCACAAACTTTGCAATGTGGTAAAGAGTATCATCTAACTAATTTTTCTTTGGAGGTGGTGGTGGTGGTGCCAGTGGTGGCACAAACTGTGACGATGACGCACCTGTCGGTCGATATGCATCAAAAATAACCTCCTGAACGGCTAACCTCAACTGCTCCCTATTTATCTGAAAAGGTGGGTAAACGGTCCCCCTCGCTTGTCCCTCTCTTGGTGGGACCAAATCACGCAATAAAATATCTTCCTCAACTTGCTCTTAATCCCTTTCCACGGGATTGGAGCTAGAACTTTCCCCGAGATCCCTTTCGTGTTGGCATGACGCTATAAGAAAAAGGAAACGGATCAATAATGATAACACTAAAATACGCACGAGAACGGAATCCTCACATGAATGACTTGACAAATATGGAAACACATAAACACCTTTCTTGCTCCCAGAACACTCAACTAATGAGAAACATGATCATGCTAATAATATACAACAACATTAAGCACTTAGCCCGTAATCATATAAGCAATTAAACAATTAAGTATGCCTTTCAAATAATTAAGCACCTTAACACATAGGCATATAAGCATGCAATCACGTAAGCAATTAAGCAAGTAAGTAAATAACTCAACTCCCCATGCAATCCTAGGTAAGCCTCTACCCATTGTCCTAATGGTATTCGAACCATCGCTCTGATACAAAATTTGTAACGACCCGAATAGATACCAAAATAATAATAAAAATATATAAAAATTTCGGCACGACCTCCGCAGAAAATGTCCCTTAACAACTTGTAGAAATACAAAAATAAATGCAATGGTCTCACTGGGCCTTAATCTAACTTATCCTGTCCCAACGCACAATTCAGATATTATATTACATTCCCAAAATAGCTACATACATACAGAAGTCCCGTTCCTCCATCTCATCCAAACAAGGGATACACTTTAGTTACATCAATTTACAGTCCAAAATGTAGTAAGAATTTAAAAGTCCATAACTTATAACATTATACTAATTAAACTAAAGTGTCACAAGGTAGTTAATATTACATTTACAAAATACTAGAGTCTAATACAAAATATAACAAAATAGAGTGGGTCTTCAAGCTCATCTAAACCTATGGTGGACCGTCGTCCGCCACCTCTTTTCCATATCCTGAAAAATGTTAAAAATAAGAAGGTGAGTATAAGCTCAGTAGGAAGTGTTTAAGACACACTTCTTATGTCCTCGTGAATCCATACAATGAATAGATAAAAAGTGAACGGGATCATGCCATCGGAAAACACACATTCTCAACCACAATAACAAATATCAACCAATCACAAATTTACCACGATGTCATGAAGTGCAATGTTATGCAAATGTCACTCCCCATTTCCGAAACAATTCCGTTTCAACAACCAAACCGTTAGTGTAGTCCGACCCAAGGCACCTCCATAGCATCACAAAAGGAAGGTTGGTTAACTATCCACGACCACAAAACACCTCCAAAGCGTCGCATCCGGCCTAGTTAACTCAATTACATTCCCTTCTAAACTACACTAACATCATAGACCACTAGGCGCCTCCTAGGCGTCCGGTTTTCGCAACACTTTTAGAAAATATTTTCTCCAAAACAATTTTATTTGTTCTAATAAATATTTTTCCCCCTTTCTCTTTTCCAATGGATGCATGAATGCTTTATGCTTCAAATCATCAATTTAACTATATGATTTCACACATTTCTATTTACATCATCATCACAATTTAATGAAAATTTCTAAACATTCATTTCCTTTATTTATTTATAACCATAGCACCCATTTTTTTTTTTTTTTTTTTTTGGTTCAAGACAATAAATAAATAAATAATCATGGAACATACAACACATCAAACACTAAGCATGCTCATTTACCGTAATAAAAATAGACATGTATATGAACTCAAATAACACATGGAACACAATTATCATTTTAATTACACATAACTACAACAACAAACTAAGTAATTAAAATTTAGCATGCTTATGATCAAATTTAAGAAAATTCACCAAAGGCCAAGAAATTATAGATTAGAACACCCCTACCTCAAATTGATGAAAACCCCCAATTTGAGCCCAAGAATCCTAGAATTTCGAACTCCTTGGAATGCACCAAATGATGATTGGCTCCTATCAAATTGACGGTCTCGACGAGCTCAACAACTTTGCTTCATAATGTTCTGCCAAATTTCAAAGAGATAGAGCTAGATCAAGTTTTGAAAGGTGAAAGCAAAAATAAAACAAATATTCCATAGAGAGAACATGGAAATTGCCGAGAGAGAGAACCAAAATGCGTATCTGTAATGGCCTTATGGCCTTTTTGATGTTTTTAATATAGTAGTGGGGCCCACTTGTTTTATTTCTTTTTCTTTTAACATTATATATATATATATATATCACAACATTACAAAGCAGAGTTCAGGTTTGAACTCACTCCATCAACTATAGCCTATAAGAGAAAAATGATTAAAACCTATAATAATGAAGGTGGTTTGAGTTGGCTTCTTAATTACCCCAAAACATTCTTGCCCTAATATTTTTTATTATTTTAAATGTAAGGGAACTTGTCAGTTTAACATTGTCCTACATCCATGGTGAGTATAAGCTTCCTACTCACTGGTGAGTAGGCAAGTATTAAAAAAAAAAAAAAAAAAATTGTTCAATCGAAGTATTTGACTGATTACTTTGGCAGAAACTATGTGGCTTGTCCAGCTAGGCCACTTCAATCTCTTTCTCTCTCATCGCTTCTCTCTCCTTTCTTTCTTTTTCTCGTTGTATTTCTCTCTCTAATATCTCCTTAAAATCTTTTTATAGACTAGGAAAAACAATATAATCAAACAAATAAATTCACATATTTACCTTCTAAAAAAAATTACACATATGATACAATATATATATATATATATATATAAATATATATGAATATGATATAAAGTTGCAAGCATATACTTTAAAAATCAAAAGTTCTCTCTCTATCTTCTTTTTTTTTATTTTTTTTTATGATTAATTAAAAGTTCTTTCTCTCTTCATGTTAAGATAGTAAGAAATCTTGTTTGAAGTGACGAAACGAAGAGGGAGAGATTTGATAACTATGAAAAAAGAACTTGACAGTCTGGGAAAGATGAATATCCGGACACGAATATTGGTTCTTCTTTTATTTTCTTTTCTTTTTTTAATTGTTAAAGTTACTTACTTGCCATGTGTATTCTGTCAAAGTAATATGCCAAAATCATTGGCCCATCTATCACTACCCAACAAAAAATGGAATTACCATTTTTGTAATCATTATAGCTAAACCAGATGTTAGAGAATGGAGAGTGAATGCAATCATATTGAATCTCTTTTCTTTATTTATTTATTTTTTTTTTTGGTAAATAATATGTAAGTCTGTACATGGTACCCTCCCCGAAAAATCAGTCTGCCACATAACTAACATGGTAAAATTTGATTGAATATTTATTAGTGAATGTATAGCTGACTAAACCATTAGGGCTTGAATTGAGGTAGTTGGATTTTTAATATTGTTCCATCTAAACATAGGTTTTTTGGTAATTAAAATGTAAGTATATGACATGGTACATAGTAAATTTTGGTTAAATTGAGGTAGGTCTTGAATTTTTAATATTGTTCCATCTAAACATAGGTTTTTTGGTAATCAATATGTAAGTCTGTTATATACTTAAATGGCATATGGTAAATTTTGGTTGAATTTTTAATGAATGTAGTAGGTGTAGCTGATCAATCATAAGGGGCTTGAATTGAGGTAGGCCATGGTGTTGAATTTTTTAAAATTGTTCCATCTAAACATAGTGTTTTTGGTAATCAATTTGTAAGTCTGTTACATGGTAAAAATTGATTGAATATTTAATGAATATAGATGACCAAACATTAGTGCTTGAATTGAGGTAGGACATGGTCTTGAATTTTTAATATTGTTTCATCTGAACATAGAGATGCGCACCAAATACTTAAATACAGAGCAAGTAGTTTAGAAAATGGTTTAGTAATCTTAAACAAATGAGACTCTTGATTTTAATTTGGGAGTGGTAGGTATTTTCACGTTTTTTGAATTTAGTGTCTTATAAAGTATTAAAATCTAAGGTCGACGTAAAATATTCTTTTTGAAAAATATTTTTCAAAATTCAGATAAAATATTTTTTATTTTTAAATTGTCGAGGTTAGTCAAATGTCTACATCGAGGTTGAGGTCGAGTCCATCGGACGGGACATGTAAAATAACTTGTCGAAAATTGATAGATAAGTTATTTTTGTTAAATTTTAATATTTTTTTCTTCATAAATATTTTATGACAACCAAACATCAAAAAAATAAAAATATATTTTCTGAAAAATATTTTACGTCCAAACAAACGAAACTTTAATGTAAATTATTCTTTGAAATTACGCCTATGAAAACTTTGCCCGGGCATTGGTAGTGGCGATTTGTCATTCTTGGTGTTCTACTTGACATACTGGGATTGCCCTTTTGCAAGATTTGGTTTTTGGTGGCCCTTTTCACCAATAAGCAAGCTGGGTTTAGCTGAACAAAAATAGGGGCCCAAGTATCCTGAGTCCATTGGGATAATGGCTTAACTGTGGGCCTCTCACCAGGAACTAACAATGGGGCTGTGAAGAGAAATCTTGAAAACCTATGTTTGGAATTGATGAAATGTGGGCAACCAAGCACCAGGTACAAAAATAAATGCTTCAGCCTTAGTGTAATCAAAAGTTTAAGTTGGGTAGTGTTGCAAACTCATTTATTTATACTCATATCACTTTCTATCTGGATATGATGTGTGA